CAGTGCGACCAACCCCTCCGTGCCAGGGCCAGTGCCAACCGCACAGTACAAGGCAAGGCGGCCCGTCGCCCCGCCGCCAAAACTCGCCCCGCCGCTGCAGCGCGCTGCCACCCCGGGGAAAATGTTGGTCTGTCTGCTCATTTGGAAGGAGGCCAGGCCTCGGCGGGGCCGCGGGGCCGCGGGGCAGGCCAAGCAGAGAATATTGGTCGAGGGAAAATCGACGTTCGTCACCGGCACATTATTGCTGTCGACTCGCCAGGCGAGGCCGCGCTGCCGCGCCCGCCCTGGCAGGTCGCTAACGGTTTGCTCACTGATTTTTAGCGCTGTTGCCAGACGCGGGGTTCGAACCACCCAGTGCAGGCGGGACGGCGTCAGCACATCAGCCTGCCAGTTCTCACAGCCAGAACAGCGGTTCCCAACCTTTTCCAGCTCTCACGACCCGAAAAGGTCAGTTGAGAGTTATCGCGACCGCGCGACGCGACAGACAAAATTTAGCGACCCGAGCCAAGAGGCTGCGACCCCAAAATAAGCATTGGCCATTTGAAGGGCACTACCATGATGGTGGCCTCGTGGACTCTGAAACCGGCCGCCGCGTCGCCGCATCCAGGCAGCATCTCGCCTCTCTCCGCCGAGCCCCTCTCGTGGCGCCAATTAGCCACCTGCTGTCCGCCGGCCGCCCTCCTCCCTTCCGCCGCCATCCGCCATGGGGGGGGGGGGACGCCGCCAAATCCGGGTCAGGCACTTCCCCCTTTTTCTTTTTCCCGCTGAATGGAACGAAAGTTTGCATGCGCGTTGAAAGTCCACAACAACGCGCGCAAACAAATAGGCGGGACACTACTGGCGCGGTGCTTCGCCATGCCTGCGCTCTTTCCGAGGCCGAGGCCGCCAGCGCGGCCATGGCCAGGCCGAGGCCATGCTCCGCGTGCTCCAGATACAGAGGACTGCGTCGACGCATATGCCGCGGTGACGTGAAACGCGTCGCGCCAGACCGATCCCGAGCAGGGCGTCTCTCTCGCACTCAAGGCGGTGCGAGAGAGACGCAGCGACGAAGCACGACCGGCCGGGCCCGGCGGGCCCCCAATCCCACGCCGCCCCAGACACACCTGCGAAGCTGCGAGGCGGAATCAGCTTAAAGCGTCTCCTGTAATTCACCCTGTCGCCACCACTGGCAACCAGAGGCACCAGAGGCCAGGCCGCTCTACCTCAGCCCCGCCGCGCCCCGCCGCGCCACGCCTAGTCCGTGCTGATGGCACATGAAGGCGTATTATTGCAGCCGTTGGCCCGGACACTGATCCCTGTTTACGGGCAGGCTGCCCTGGAAACGACCATCGCGGCTGAGCGAGAAAGAGAGAGAGAGGGAAGGCCAGCCTTCTCAACATCCAGGCCAAGCTCGGGGCAAGGAGCTGGCCGCCGCTTGCCGTTGGCTGCCCCCAAACCTCTCGGGTACCCTCTCGGCTGCCAGATCCCCGAAGCACTATTGTGCCATTGGGCTGCATTGGGCCCCAAGCCCCGCGGTCTGTACCCGTTCAGGGCGAATTCAGAGTCGTGTTCTTGCTATGATCCCCCTCGCCACCCTCCCCCTGCGCACATCCGCGCTTGCAACACGGCCACGGAGTTTACATCCGTCCCACCCTGGCGCGAGAACCTGCAGGGAGATTCCCTCGCTCTGTCTCCGTCGGGCTCGAGGGACGTTCCGCGGGAGTGCGAGAGAGACGGAGCGACTCGTCGGAATCGCTCGGCGGGTTTGAAAAGGCGGTCGCGGCGCGGGGCTTTGAACCCGCGACCGGTCCGACTCCGTCATTTCGTCGTTGCACCTGGGCTGCCCTTTCTCTTTCTCTTTCATCCCCGATGCCGCCACGCCGCCATTACTTGGTAATGAGGGGGACAGAGACGGAATTCGGAAGGCCTGGAAAGCCTGGAAGGCCTGCCGACGAGACGGTCGGTACGCCTTGCTGATTCAAGTGCGGCACGGCACGCAGCGCGTGGCGGGGCGGGGCGGGGCGGGGCGGGGCGGGGCGGGGCGGGGCGCGGGAGTGGCGATGGCACAATGCTGCCAACTTGCCCAGCTCGCTCACGTTCCCCCTTGACGAACAGGAAGGCAGGGGGGCCACTACCGCGGCGCGCGGCGCGCGGTGCCAGGGCATGCCAGGGCGCCACCCCCCGCCCCCGCATTGCACTGTTGCCAACATTCGGCGACGGCAGTGGCGGCAATGGCCCGATAATTCGGTACTGGGGGCGCCGTTCGCTGCCGAGCGATGCTCTGTCTCTCTCGCACCCTTACGGAGAGCGCCGTGAGTGCGACAGAGACAGCAGCCAGGCGACTCGGCCGCCGAACGGGGCGCCGCGTCATCGTCGCCCTGGCCAAGGCCTCGGCCGCCCCGATGGCCTAGAGAGCCTGGAGCAGCGAGGCGCCGCGCAGGGCGCGCAGGGCCCGGGCAGGCCGGCCCAGGCGACATCAAGTGAAACGGCGACCTGTTCCAGTGTTCCCGACGGTTCCCGACGGCTCCCGAGCAGCAAGGAGGTCCGAACGGCGTCGTTAGCCGGACTCGGTGGCTCGCTCCAGCTCCAGAGCGGTCCGCCATGGCCGCAGCCCCGCCCCGCCCCGCCCAGCGGCTTTCTCGGCCACTTTGGGGCGATATCGCCTCGCTGTGCGCCGACGTGCCAACCACCTGCCGGCCACTGGGGACACTGGGGACGGCGCGGCGGGGACGGCGTTGAGAAAGCCGTTCAAATAGCAGTGGCGGGGCGGGCGGCCTCGATGGGCAGCGTGAGCAGCGGCCCGATTCCAAGCACTGCTTCGCTGTCGCTGTCTCCCTCGCACTCGAGGGGCGTCCCGTGAGTGCGAGGGAGACAGAGCGACGAAAGCAGTGCTCGGGATCAGCCTACAGCCCGTTGCAAAGCCCTGCTGGCCGCGCCCTTCCCCGGCGGGGCGGGGCGGGGCGGGGCGGGCGGGGCGGGGCGGGGCGGGGCGGGGAGACGCGTCGCCGAGACGCATAGGATATTCAAACACACGCGCGGCGAACGCGGCGAACGCGGCGAACGCGGCGCATCCCGGACGTGCCCGCCGAGTTGGAGATATCGAGTTTGAGACGTCCGTGCCGTCGCGCGGCGTGCCCGCACCGCACGCGCGTCACGCACACGACCGTGCGCGCGGCCCGCGCGGCCCCCCAGGCCTTGGTCCTTGATCCGAGGTCCCAGTGGCGCCCGGAGACAAGAGGACGTCGGACAGCGGCCCCGTCAAGGAGCGCGACACCGCGGCCGAGGTCGCGTCGGAGGGGCAGGGCGGAGCGGGGCCGCGCCGGCGCGGGGACTCGAACCCGTGCCTTTTCGGAAGGCTGTCGCGGTCCCGGGGCGCCACCGCGCCACATCGTCATGCCAGTGTGATTGATGTTCTTCCTCCTCAGCAGCGCGCTTCAGCTTCCTTCAGCTTGCTTAGGCCTTTCAACCATTAGGGTTCGTGTTTCCTGTTGGAGCCCCGCAACCCTCCGAGAAAAGGTGCCAACGCGACGTCGCTAAGGCTGTGTCGCGCGCCGAGAGCGTCCCTGCGTCGCCGGAGTGTCGGAGTCGTCGCGTTCACGCTCTTGTTCACAGTCGCGTGGTTGCGGGTCAGGACTGCAGGCCTGGCGCAGCGGGTATCCCTTCCACCCGGAAGCTCATTCGAGTTAATTGGAATCTCGATTAGTTACTTCGAGAGCGCGGCGGGAACAGGGAACGGAACAGCCCGGCGGGCCGCGCTGGCGCGCTCGCTACACCTAGCTAGCCGTGAAATTTCACTAGAGGCTGTTTAATCCCAGAGACGAAAAAAGCGGAAACAAAAAATAAAGATGGAATCAGCCTCACTGAAACCCGTGAATACGGAGAGCGCGGCCGGGCGGGGCAGCTTCCAGAAGGCAAGGTAAATTTATTCCCTTCTTTCCAGAGGCGTATGGATCAACATTCATTTCCGTGCTCTCTCGCCCGAGAAGAGAGGTTTTGCTTACACGGCCCGCCCCCTTATTTTTTCCTATATTTTTGTTGCCTGTTGGCTGCAGATTCGCCAGGAAGCCGTTAAGGGTGTTCGAGAAAACAAAGAAAAGGCGCCTGTCTGTTTCTCTTCGTGCTGCACAGCGGGTACCGGGACTCTAGGTCACGGCGCACCCACTGAGGGGGAACTTGTAACCACAGTAGTGTACAATGGTTTGGTGAATTTTTCATCGGGTGTCGATGCGTTTGACGCCGTTTTTTAGTCCAGTGGAAGGAAGCACCTCGGAAGGCATCGCACCCCGTCCCCGCGTCCGCGCGCGAGCGTCGGCCGGCGTTCTCTTCCGTTTTCCCGGCTGCTTTCTAATCCCATTCCTGCCGGCGGGTAAACCGATTCGGCCCGGAAAGGCGGAAAAGCGGAAAGGCGTTGCCGGAGGCGGGCGCAGAATGCGGCGCGCGAGAATATTTCATTTTAAATTATAGAGCGGTGGTAAGTCGCCTATAGAAAAGATTTAACGCGCAACTTTTAATGCAAATGTATTAGGGCCGTGTTGGTGTGTCTGTGGCCAGGCCACCTTGTTTGTGGGCTGGTTGAACTCGTCGGCGGCGGACCACACCCCTGCCCACAGATGGAAAAGTGACCGAAAAATCAAAAAGACCGTCACAAAAAAAATCTTCCCTCTGTACGCAGCATGGACTGGTACCAGGTACCTGGTCGAGAAGGGAAGTCCCACCCGAGTGCGCCTCGTCAGACTGGCCGGAAAATTCAAATTCGGTTAGGTTTTTTTTACGGTTTTGATTATTTGGACACTTTTACTTGTGTGGGTAGGGCTCCACTTTTCTCAGTTTCCTCCTAATCTTTTTCCCCCATTTCTGTTTTGCACTGTACTAGGGACTAAATAAAGGACAAAAAATAAAGAAAATAACAGCATTAAATTTTTATTCATTACAATCAAAAGCACTGAAGATGGAGAATGAGTCATCTACACCAGTCTTTGCTCAGGACGAATCAAGAAGAGTGGCGGGCCAGCCTGGGCCCTTCACGGCTTGCGCAGCACCAGGACGCGCGCGGCCGTCTCCAGCAGGTCGGCGGCGAGGGACGGCATCCGCTGCTTGTAGTCGCGCCAGCGCTGCGTGGCGGTCACCTCGCCCAGGTGCTCGACCACGACAAGCAGGGCGCGCGCCTTGAGGGCGGCCACGCCGTGCTGCTCGGCGAAGGCCAGCAGGTCCAGGGCCAGGCCGTTGTCGGCGTCCAGCGCCACCAGCAGCCGCCGGCAGCACTCGTCGGCCAGGTCGGTGAGCCCGAAGCGCGCCGCCAGCACCAGCACGTCGGTCTCGCAGTCCGACAGCGCGGACACGTCCGCCGTGTACATGTAGCGCAGCACCTGCGGACAAGCAAGCTGGTCGCTCTGTCTCTCTCGCACCTACGGGACGCCCCATGAGTGCGAGAGAGACAGAACGACGAGAACGACTCTCGTTGACGCCTACCTTGAGGAAGGCTTCGCGGGGCGCGTCCGCGATCCGCAGCTGTTGCAGCGAGGAGGGCGGCGCAGCGTCGTCGCCCTGGCGGTCGTCCTGCAGCACGACAAGAGTCAAGAGAAGCTCTCCGCAAACAGATCACACAGAGGAGCGCTCGCCTACCTGCTCCAGCAGCTGGCGGAAGACCTCACTCCTGGCCACCAGCACGGCCTTGTGCGCCTTGACGGGCAGCTCACCCACGCGCAGGACGACGTCGGAGGAGCCCTGCGTCGACAGGAGGTGGCCGAAGTCGGCGCTCAGCCTGGCCAGCATCTGCAGGCTCACCTCGTCGCAGTCGGCGGCCTCGGTGCAGCGCTCCTCCTCCGAGCTGTCGCCCTTGTCCGCGTCCTGGAGGTGCTGGCCGGGCTGCAGGTAGAACGACGCCATGTGCACGCCGACCTGCGACACGGCGGACCGGTGCACGCTGGCGATGGTGATGGGGTGGTCCGTGACCACCACGACGGGGCTGCGCTGCCCCCGCAAGGGGTGGTCCCGGGCGGCCTGGCTCGGCCGGCTGGACGACGAGCAGGTCGACTCGTTGCTGTCGGCGCCCAGGTCCACGTCGCCATCGGCATCGCCCCCGTTGTCCATCAAGTCGTCGCGGCGGCTCAGGTGGACGGTCCCCTGCACGCGGAGGCGCGCCATGTCCCTCGCGAACAACTCGCTCAGCACGATCCGGACCACGTCCCCAGCCTCCACCTGCACACAGCGAGCAGTGTAGTGGCACGTCGTTAAAATCCCGCCCTTGGCCCGGGTCAGCTGAGCGCCACCCGTCCAGTGTCAGACAAAGTAACAAAGCTCACAGCACTGGAAAACCAAGGTCTTGTTACCTGCATCTTCACTCTCCAAGAAATCGGCGGGTCCGCCAGTTGAAACTGCGACAGCTCCACCTCGTCGCCCTGTTGGAAGCCATCAACAGAAATGGCGGCAGACACCGTCGCCAGGATGATGTCATCTGACTGTTTTTCTCCGTTGCAGAATCTCTCCACAGCCTCGTCCAGAGCGTCTTTCACAATCTGCTCCATTTTCAACGTTCACAGTTACTGTCTATTCCACAGCCGACAAATTAAACGAATCTTGGCGTTTCGAGTCTCGTTAGTGGCAGCAGTACCTCGCGTCACTTTGAATCGGTGGCGAGCGCGCCGTAACGGCCATTGACCGTACAGTCTGTACAGTCACGCAAAGTACTCCTACACACCCACAATCTTTTCACGTTGAGCGAGGGTTTGCGAGTATTCCCTATTTTCGATGAGAAAAACGCTTATTATGATTCCGACGGTCGTAAAATGTTCCCGAAGCGTTTTCTTTTTCTTTTCTTTGTAGGGGTTGAAATACCTGGCCAGGTGGAATCTACGTGTCTCCAGCTTCCGGCACCCCCTCGCACCCCGCCCCTCCCCGCTCCCCGCAACGCCCCTAGTTGTTCCTTTTGTGATTGATGCAAACAGTCAGCCCACCTATGCCTTTTCTGCGAACCCAGCAAATTTGTTAGGTGTGGCGGTGTTGGGGTGGGGCTGCGCCGCGGCCGGGACGGTGCTTGGCTTGCGAGAAGACTGCAAAGCCAAGCTGTCCGCTTTGTTGCGCTTCAAGTCTCCGTCTCTGTCGGCTCTCCGGTTCCTTTCGGCTCGCCGCTGCGGTTAGGGAAGGGTTGCGGGGGGTTTGTCAGCCCAGCCGTCTGCTAGTCCAAACCCTAGACCCAGCCCAAACGCACGCAATGTCTCGGTTTAGTGTTGCATTTGCGCTGTTTGTCGTCGTCTCCGTGTTCTTGGACTGCCACCGCCAAGCAGAGGCCGCCGCCGCGCACCTCCACAACCAAGAGCGGGTGTCTGACGGCGGCTTTGTGCCCGAGGAGCACGGTCGCATTCACAGGGAGCATCAAAGTCACGCAGAGTTCGATCATGAGGCTATTCTGGGTGAGTGCTCGAGAAGCAGTGTCACTTTTGCTTTTTAACCTGTGAGTGCCTTTAGGGGTTCAGTTTTCCTTGCTTCTTATGTTGTGCCGATGTTCCATTCATACTCGATAGCATATATCCTTTAGTCGTGTCTAATTTTGTTATTCACCATCAGGAACTGTCAAGGAAGCAGAAGAATTTGACCACCTGTCTCCAGAAGAATCCAAGAAACGACTCCGTGTCTTACTGATCAAGATGGACGTGAATGCAGACCAAAATATCGACAGATCTGAGCTTCATGCATGGATTATGCGGTCTTTCAAGTGAGAATTGCCATTTAAATTTCTGCGCAGACTTGTGTTATACTTTGTGTATCTGGACTCATAGATGTGCTCTGAATATCTGGCAGGATGCTTTCAGAAGAGGAAGCTAATGAAAGATTTGAAGATGCTGACGATGACAGCAATGGTTACATTACTTGGTCTGAATATGCCAAAAATTCATTTGGTGATGACACTGATTTCTCTGACGATCACCTGGAGGAAAATAAGGTAAATTGTTGTCTTATTACTGAGCTCTACTGCTCTTATTGGTGTGTTAGTCAATGATCTGTCTTAAACCCTTTTTTTTAAACAGCTCATCAAAAATGACAAGATCATGTTTGATGCTGCAGACAACAACAAAGATGGAAAACTAGATCAAGCAGAATTTTTAGTTTTCCAATTTCCTGAAGAAAACCCTGCTATGCATCCTCATTTGCTTGCTCAGACCTTAGAGGAAAAAGATAAAGACAGTGATGGATTCATCAGTTTTGAAGAATTTCTTGATCGCAAAGGTTATTGTTTACATAATAAGCATACTTTAATATTTTTATATTGCTTTTCCACATTTCATCATATTTTTGTTTGATCAACAGAGACTGATTCTCCCGAGAAAGAGTATCTAATTGTGCAAGAGCAAAAGTTTAATGGTGAATTTGATAAGGATGGTGATGGTAGGCTGAATTCTGCTGAAATTTTATCTTGGATTACTCCAAATAATGAGTAAGTCTATTCAATGAAATTTGATGTTTACTCAAGATTTCATGTTACCTTCTGTGCTTGACGACTGTGCTCTCTGTTTCATGTAGAGACATTGCCAAGGATGAAGTCGACCATCTTTTTGCAAGTGCGGATGACGACCATGATGATTTCCTTTCTTTTGAAGAAATTCTTGAGCACCATGATGTCTTTGTAGGAAGTGAAGCTACTGATTATGGTGATCACTTGCACAACATGCATCTCTTTGATGAGCTGTAGTCTTTTGACGTGCTAGGTAATCTCTTAACACTTTCCCATCAATCAATCATTTTAATATTGAGCCCTCAAGGAATCTTTCAAGTAAGGTAAGACTGGTGCTTCATGGATTAATTAAGGTGATTTATCACTCAAGTTGAGCTTTTAAGATGATTTATCATTCAAGTTGAGCTTTAGGGTAGTAATAGAATTGAGGATGAATTCTCAAAATATTTAGCTACGTAATCATTTGTTCAAATTATTGCTCTCTGTTCTAGAAAAGATCACTGTCATTCTTTCACTGTTTCATTGAGGTCACCTTGCTTACCATTTTATGTATTTTCAGAAGCTAGTCAGATGGTTCCTTGTCATTTTAAGTTGGCTTTGGACCAAGATGTGATGTACTAGTTTTGTAAGGGTGGCTGATAAGTCTGATTCATTTCTTAATGCACACTTACCTATGGTATAACGAGCCACAATAGTTAGTATTTTTACATTTTAAAAGACATACATATTAAGAAAGTAATTTTATTACTCTCTGCATTTGCACTACTAAGGTGCTCTTAAATGTTGCCTTTTCTTCTCCTTACTTCTTTATTAATTTATTTTATTTATTAATGGAGGTGCCAAAACGTTTTTAGTACGTGACTATTAGGGCAAACCTGTGATGTGCTTAAGAAAGTCCTTCCTGACTGCTGTTTGGCATGTTTAGGTTGTGCCAAATGTGTTTAGTCTAAAGGATTGTGCTTTCCTTAGTGAGAAGAATTGCCAAAAGTTCAGGAAGGAGGATGAAAAACGTAACAAAATATTTTTTTTGTCTTTTTATTTTATTTGAATCTTACAAAGTAAAAGATACCAAATGTAAACTTAATTTGGTTTTCTAAAATAAAAATGAGTTACTTAACAATGTCATGTACAGATTCTCAAATTAGCTCCATAGGGTGTGATGTAATAACTTCTACCTAATTTGTACTTTCTCACAACTGATAGTGTTGTTAACATACTGTATTATACCCGTAACTCACACCTGTACCACCTATAAAACTAAGGTTGCATTTAAGTAGGAAGAGAAAATTAAAACTAAAACAGCTCCTGTTAGTTTCATAAGTTTGTGCCAATACCATGGACTGGTGCATCTTAAATGCATATCAACAATAAATATGAAGTACAAACGTGAATACTGATTTCTGGTTGGTTTGATTATAAAGATTTCCTCCCAAAACCCATTTACTTTCCCTTTCCCTTCCTCTTCTTGGCTGGTGGGTGTGGACAATCATCATCTGCTTCATCTTCTGCAACAAATGATGTGTATTAAAGTAGATGGAACCATAACTACGCGTTTAAGCATACTGAAAGGTTACTCACGTTCTTTTTGCAATATTTTGTTTGCCTTGTATGCAGCAGAGAGTCTTCCTATGTTGACTTTGTACACGTCCTCATGTTTAACGAGACGATGAGGGTAATCCTCTCCAACCACACACTTAGCAGCTTTCTGAACTGACAAGGAAGCTTCCCATGGTTCATACAAGTAATTACTAGGAAGCTTTGAAACCTCTGGAACATATTTCCTGACACAAAAGATCCGGTATTAAAAAAAAACAGCAATTTTGAGTCTTACATCAATGAAAAACAGACACTACTGTACTGTATGTCATGATTACCTTATGTACTCCCCCGTTTTATCTGTCTTCTTCCCAAAGGCTACAGGACTGTACACTCTGTAGAATGTGTGATAGAAGGCTGATGCTGACATCCACATCCAGTTTCCTGCATTCAATGCCCAGTCAGCATCTAGGAGCAGCTCTTCAAATACCTTGAATGTGGAATAGATGGCAGTTAAATCAAATTTGCGCAGCTTTAAGAACAGTACTACAAGATAAAATTTGTAAGCAGCTCACCTTCTGACCTTCCTCCCAAGACTGGTACAAGTCTCCTCTGGTGAGGAAACAGGCAACAGCGTGTCTGGCAAGGTGATGAATCCACCCTTCTTGGCGCAACTGACGCATACAAGCATCAATGAATGGATATCCAGTCTTACCCTAAAAAAAGACGATAAAAATTTACTCAAACACAAGACAGAATTCTCTTTGTTTAAACATCTTAGATCAAGAGGCATACCTGTGCCCACCTCTCCACCCATTCTGGGTTTTCATCCCAAGGAACTTTACAACACACCTTGTTGCCAACCATCTTGTCAAAGTTAGGTGTTCCTGAAGCAGCAATGTAATAAAACTCACGCCAATACATCTGACCGATGAGCGATACAGGTGGTTGGGAATGCTTCCGGCCTTTCAAAACCTGTAAGATGCATGATTAAAAATGTTAGGCTTATGATTATATTTTCAAAAAAAATCAGAAAATTATCATAAGAAAAAAATTAAAATAGTACCATGTTTATTTTGTGGTACACAAAGCGTGATGATACACAACCAAATCTTATGTAAGGGCTCAGTACTGTAGTGCTTGGAGCCAAGCTGTTTGGGATGGTCTTTGGCTTTTCAAAAGAGCAGATCCAGTCCTGCACAGGATATGAAAATAAGTTAGTGTCACACCATTAAGCACAAAAGGGAAAATAATAAAAACTATCCAAATAAACTAACTTTTCTTTCCAGACACTTCTCTAAACGAGCCAAGCCTTCTGTTTCTCCACCTGGGAAGAGACATGGTCCTAACTGAGATTGGTCCACACCAAGTTCCTCCAGTGTTGGAATATCATATTTATGATCTTCGAGCAATGCCGCAGCAGCACGGCATTCAGGAGGCAATTTCGTAGGAGCAGGTACAGCTTGTGGTGGTTCTCCTAAAGACTTCATTAGAGAAACTGCCTTCACATATGTTAATGGAACAGCATCCATGTTTGCTTTTAATACCCTAAAAGACAAGAAAAAGACCAACAAATTTTCAAACCGTGATGACTTTCTAATTGCTTTAAGATTATATTTTCAAGCAGCTACAAAATTCACCTACAATTCTGTGTTGTACAGAGTGTGAGAAACCTTCTGAATAACCTCTACATCAAGCTGATGTGCAATCCTTGTCACCTGATCATCTCGCTGGCGCGAGTATGGCTCAATATCAATTTCAAAAGTAAGACGTTGCACTTTCCATTCATTGAAAAGCATGGGAAGCACCTCTTCGGGCTTACCTCGGAACACAAAAAGCCTGAAATACAATAGAAACATTTGAAAGGTTTGATAATTTAAAAAGGGCTTAAATTGTCTTATGACAACAGGAAAATAAATTTTTACCTTGTACCAAGTTGGCGCAAGTTCTTGTCCAAATCTGAAAGGCTTTGATGAAGAAATCGCCATCGGTTGGCTCCACATCTAACATTCTCTTCATACCATGGGTCGAAAATAAATATTGGACGCAATTCCACCTGGACAAGTAAAGGCAGCCATTAATGATATTTTTAAGTCATGGAAAAAGCACCGAAATTACTACGAAACAACAAGTAAAAATGATTGAGGATAGTAGGCACAAACCTCAGCTTTGATGGCAGCGATTAAAGCAGGATTGTCATGGAGTCTTAGCCCTTTCCTGAACCAGTGAATAGCCGTCGCTTTAGACATGATGAAAAAGCGCAACCTTCAATTCCTCAAATTTGCTCAAAATGTCAGAAACAGCCAACACGCGTTTACCCTCCGTACAAAATGCTGCTTGTTTGTGTTTCGTTTTGTTTGAAGGTTCTTGATATGAAAAATTAAACGCCCAGCTGCCGTCTGGCAAAGCTATTTATTGGGCATAAATTTGGGAAGCATAAACAAAATAAATGTTCCAGAAGGTCGCATACAAAATGCCTTGTGAAGTAAGGGAGATATTGGCATTATGCTGATTAAATGCACGTTTCAGCTTAAACGGGGTAGTTGTGTTCCGGCTGACAAATTTCTCAGATCAGCTGCAGGGGAAGGGGTGGAGGAAGAGAGAGGGAGGAACGGAAGCGGCAGTACAGTCAAGTCTACTTTCTGGATTTAACTAACGTGCAATATTTATGTAAACAGTAGAGTGATAACGATCAAACATGATATCAGAGGATTTAGTTTCCACCTGTGCGGAACTAGAGCGCCAAGAATTAACTGTAAGTGAATGTCATATTTGATTCATTGTTGTTGTTGTTCTCCTTAACCTTAAACTCTGTGCCGCCTGTCACCAATTTTTAGGCAAATGGGTTGTCATTGTGAATTTGAGCCCCATTTATTGATTCTGGATTCGTCCATACATTTCTATATTGATACTGCTCTTATTCTTCTGTCATATTCATTGAGAATTTTTTGGTAATTTCTGTTGCAGTCTCCGACAGGTGAAGCTTCACCCCAAGAATATGCTCAATTGTTAGCCATCTATCTATGTCAAAGTGATCTGTAAGTACCACAACTTGTTTTCACTTTTTCTACAGACCTTGTTCTGTGTGTAATTTACTGTATGTATGGGTGGAAAGTTAATGCCAATTTGAACGGTGAACAGGTGTAATGCCAAGTTTTTATGGAAACGCATCCCAGCATCTGCGAAGAGCAGTAATGAGGAATTGTCACTTATCTGGAAGGTTGGCCAATGTATGTGGAAAAGAGATTATCCCGCAGCTTATGCAGCCCTTCAAGCTCCATGGTCAGACAATGTCAGACACATCATGACTACACTTCAAGGTAGGCAAGGTTGAAAGGGATTTGGAGAAATTCGTTTTTGAAAATAATTTCCAAGCTTTTGCCGTAATTCTCACCTTTTCTATCATTTGCAGAAGAACTTCGCTCAAGAGCAATTGACCTTATTGCCAATGCCTACTCTTCCATTGCCTTAAGTGATTTAGCAGCAATGGCCGGCATCAATGATAGAGAAGCTGAACGAATTTCCAATGAACGAGGTTGGATTATTGATGCTGAAACAGAGATGGTCCATCCAGTGAGGCCACCACCTTCTTCTCAAGTCATCACCTCTAGTGAAGGGCAGCTTAATAAACTTACTGATTATGTTTCGTTTTTGGAAAATTAGGCAGACTATTTGAAATCTTTTGTAGCAATAAGGGTTTTGTTTCAATTCAATTTGTGTATTTTTAATTGAGAAATTCGGTCGTTAAAACAGTGCACCTATTTATCTCAAAATTGTCTTCTTTTATATTTAATCAAAACTATATGGGGCAATGAGCCATCTTTTTCCGAACAAATATAAGGCAGATTTTGTAGTGATTTGCAATACTCCTTAAAGATTCAATACATAGTGGCATTTTTCATTGAACTATTGTCTGTTACATCAACAAATATGTGACTGAATGGATAAGTATCTGATCTGCTCTTGTGAAAGTTGGGTGAAATTAAAAGCAGCTCACAGAAATCAATGTCTTTTATTAAAAATCCTATTAACCAATAATCTGCAGGGAAGTCAGTATAGTACAAATCCACCAACTTAATTATTTCAGGTACTGGAGCATCTAAAATAATGGACAGATATTTAAACGCATTTATATTGCTGGGTTTGATGAATTTGTCTCCCATAAAAACATTGGTGGCAATAAATGCTGAAGAGGCAAAATTTGATGTTTCCAGGCCATATAGTTGCTTGTAAATACTACAAGGAACCATAAAATTGAAGTAGTAAAATACAAATCTGAACTCAAGCTGAGCTTACAATTGTTCTTAAAAAACAGATAAATTTACCAAAATTTATATATTTTTGCTACCTAGTGGCAACCAACACTATTGGTAATGCAACTACTGTTCGTTGAAACAATGCCCATAGGGCCAGTAAAGGTACCCTCTTTCAACCATCTATCTACATGGCCTCGCATGCGGCGAATGTCTTCAGCATTAGTTCGACAACAACCACCAACGTATTCAACTCCCAATGAAAGCCATTCATCAACATAAGAATCGACGGATGCCACATTGTCAGGGTCAGTCCATCTAAAAAAACGGGGAAAAAATAATCAAACCATAAAATAGCAAATCAGGCTAACAAAACAGGTGAATAAAACAGCATCGAAAGAAAAATGATTCTCACCCAGTCTTTGGACTATAAACCTCCCCACTGTTTGGATATACAATAAGAGGAATGTGTGGGCGGCCCTCCTCATTGATCCTGGAGAAAAGTGAGGTCACGTACTTCGGATTTAAACAATTCACCCCAACAGCAACCAGCTGGTTTGAATTTCGTGACCAACACTCATGGGCAACATCCCGCAATAATTCTCCATGGGATATTTGATGATAATCCTGAAAGCAAAATGAGAGATATTAAAATGGATGAAACTGGAAATAAAGCCATACAACTGCTAGCAGTATTTTCAACACTGATAAGTAAACATTCATGCCTAACAGAGTGAGCCCTTCAACCAGAAAAACACAATTTAAAAAAAAATAAACATACTTCTATGTGCCAGACAGTAAATATGTTGGATGAGGAATTAGAATACAACTACAGAATACCACTACTCTAGTTATTAGCTACAAACATATACACATTCAGAGATTGAGATGGAGAGTCCAGCCAACATACAGCAGATTTTTGTACCAACACCAAACTACAAACTACCTCTAACAAAACAGCTATAGATTGCATAGTGACAGAGCTACCTCTGTAAATCCATTTGTTGAGCCAATATCCATTTCCTCTCCAGGCTCCTGAAAATAATTGAGAAAGGTTTTTGGCTGACAGGGTCAGAGGCACATCCTGGCAAGGGCAAGGGATAAATTTGGTTCACAACGCGGAGCCACCGCGCTTCCTTGGAAGACTGCGAGGGTGCTTCGATGGTGCTTGGCTGCAGGCTGCAGCAGGCCCCTTCCGGTCCGCTCACCTTGGAGGAGAAGCTGATCCAGGCCCGCACGCGGGGGAAGTCCTTGATGAGCTCGACGAGCACCTCGGCCTCCTTCTGCGCCGGTATGGTCTCCAGGGCGAGGAGGTCGACGCCGGCCGCCACCAGGGTCTCGATGCGCGGCCGGTGCCAGTCGGCCAGCGTCTGCCGCGACACTGTGTCCGCGTACTCCCCGCGGTACTCCGAGCCGTCGTGCAGCGACGCGCCGTAGGGCCCCACGGAGCCCGCGATCAGGGGCCGCACTGCAAAATCCAAAAACAGGAGTTGCTTCCTGTTGGCCTCGACGGCAGCGCGGCCGCTTTCAATACAGGACTTGGGGTCCGACCAGACCTTTACAGGAGGGGTTCTCCTTCATGTAGATGTCGACGGCCTCCTTGGCCAGCTCCACGGCGCGGCGCATCAGGCGCAGGCTCTCCTCCTCGGACAGGCCCAGGTGCTCCTTGAAGCCGCCGATGCTGGCCTGGTACGTGTTGGTGATGGTCACCTCCGCGCCCGCTGCAGTGCAAACAAAGCGTCCAGCGCATTGCCGAGAGGGAAGTACCAAGAGTCGCTTCGTCCTGTCTCTGTCGCACTCACGGCGCGTTCCGTGTGGGTGCGAGAGAGACAGAGCGACGAAGCGACTCTTCGGGAGTCAAAGGCTTTGCCCGCGATGCGGGCCTAGTGACCCGGGGCGGGTCCAAGTCCTGTTGCCTGTCGCCGCGGAGCGCTCTCGAGTGCACCATGCAGGTCGGTCATGATCGCGGCATCGCGGCCACGACCTCAACTTGACTCGTCGTGCCGCGGGATTCGCCGCCACAATGCGCCATTAGGCATTAGGTTATCGCGCCGCACAATGCAGACGCCCAATTAAGGGGACAAGGGCCAGACACAACAGAAGTACATACTAAAAAAAGGAGAAGATAGCGAAGCAAAGAGAAAAAGGATTAAGGACATTTTTTTCAGTCCGCGACAACGATGTAAGAGAGCGCGAAAGTGCACTAGAAGCGCTCTGCCCCGCTCACCTCGCAGGAAGTCCAGGTGGGTCTGCATGACGGCCTTGGGGTGCGAGGCCAGGTAGCGCGCGCTCCACAGCGGGTGCCCGTCCACCTCCTCGCCGACGTTCTCCACCAGCTGCGTGGAGAAGCCGCCGTCCAGCAGCACCGCCTTCCTGCACGCGCACATTCTGCAACGACAAAGAGCCGTCAGCACGCCAAACGCACCGCGCACCGCGGACCAATACACTGCCACGCAGGACCAGAAACGAAAGTTCAAGGTTCCTTCGGCTCGACCCCGCCCGACCAGACAGACCAGGCGCACCTCGTGGCTTTCAACCTGTTCCAACACACGCGCGTGAGCACACACGGCAACGCACGCGGCCAGACTGTGACCTCCAAAGGCCTCCAAGCAGATGAAGCGTGCGAGCCTGCGTGTGTGTGTGCGGTAGGGCGCGGGGGGCCCTGCGGAGGACACGCGGTGGCCGGGCGAGGCGTTTGGCCCGTTAGTCCCCTGCTCCGACCACGCGCATCACGCTCTCGCCGCGTGCCGGGCGGGGCGGGGCGGGGCGGGGCGGGGCCAGAACGCCCGGCAGCTGCGGCTACAGTTGACGGTCGCGGTGTCGCGGTCGCGGTTGTTGCTATTCCTGGGCCCCTCCCTCTCCCCCGCACCCCTTGTTCAACCTGCGGCGACACTGTGCGCGGCGCGCGGCAGTGACCCCGACAACAACACGGCGACAGAGACACGCACGGCGACACGCCGCCCCCTCCCCTCCCCTTTTCCAACCCTCGCTAGAGCCGTTTAATGCACTCGGCTGGCTGCGCGATAAGATGCCATCATATCAGCGCCCCCCTCCCCCCCTTTTCCCCGGGTCCCCAAAGTTTGCGCGCGTGAAGTGGGCGTCGCCGAGCCGGCATGCCGGGGTCTAGGGCAGGCTAGGGCATCGGCCACTCCCCCCGCCCCACCTGCCCGCCGACATCCTACACTTCACCAAACAGCTGATCCGCGGCGCCGCCGTGCCGCCGATAGGCCCCCCTCCCCTTTTCGCCAGTCTCCTCGTCTCGGCAGTACAGTGTGTCTCCCTTGACAACAACACTCTGCCGCCACTATCACGGCACTGGGCGCGAGACCGCCAGTTGCACTAGACTTAGCATTAGTGCCTCTCGACGATAGCTCTATCTCGTTCTAATTTGTTGCGTCTCCGTGCATATGGCTCTCGGTGCCTGGTCGTCTGGGGCGGCCGCCCTAGACCGCCCTAGGCCGCGCGAGTTTCTATGCCTCTGTCCGGCCATGCCGCCGCTGTAAAGATAATCTGTCTGTCTCATCTGCAGACTGATTCCGAAAGTCGTTTTCGCCGCTGTCGCTCTCGCACTCATGGGATGCACAGAGCGACGAAGACGACTCTCACCCCGCCGACGGGACGCACCTCGAGTGCGAGAGAGACAGAGAGACAGCGCTAATGACGAGTAAAACCGCGCTGAGACGACCAAAGACCAAAACACGCCGCGATAGCCATCGCACATCGCGCGCCTTCGAGCCTTCGCGAGTCGAGCAAGAAACAAGAAACTTCTCCGCAAATACTCGCATCACCGCCGCCGGCTCAAAGTTTCCGCCCGGCAGAGGTGACCGGTGGTTCAAATCCCCGCGCGCCGAGGCGAAAATGTGGATCTGTTACACTGTTGAGTGTACTGTACTGTACAGTGTACCGCCGCGCCGCCTGAGCGCGTCCAGCCTGCGCGCCTGACAGGTAGGCCGACCCGCGCGGCTCCCGTGTGCTCCGAGGGGCGTGGAGCGTGGCCGCAGCGTGAGGGAGGACGGGGCACATGGCCGCGAGTGGCGCGAGCCCACGCCTGCCCACGCCCCGCCGTGGACTTTGTGGCCGGCAGGCTGATTCCGAGTGAGATGTCTCGTCGGCCTGTCTCTCTCGCACCCCTGCGGCCTGCGGGACGGCCGGCGGGACGGCCTGCCGCTCGGAACGGCGGCAGTCTGCTTTAATCATTGTTTTACTCGACAAAGCGAGACCCTCGGCGAGACCAGCTCCCGATAACAAGGACAAGCCACTCGGACGGGAGATGCACGAACGCCGCAACGCGGCCCTCAGTGGGGCGGGCTGATGATCGGACGAAACGCCACCAATAAAACCCACTCCCATTCGGCGAGGTGCCCGTCGAACCGTCTTCTCGATCACTATGGATTAGCTCAGGCAGGACAAGGAGGGAACGCCCGGGATTTTTTAAAATCGCGAACAGCGGGCTCAACGTAAAGGGCTTTTCGCTTTGTTCCCATCAACACCAAAGTGTCCTTGTGTTTCTTTCTCGGCGTGCAGGTAGCCGTCGAAGTGAGGGCGCAGCCTCCGAGCCTCGGCGCGGCCGGCGGAGACAACGCGGTCCAATTACTGCAGCGGTGAAACAATTAAGAGAAATGTTGCCGCGTTAAAGCAAACGGGCTGTTCCCTCCCGAGCGAATTTGATATTACCCCGACACTGCTATCAAGGCGAAAATAATGTGACGTTTCACGCCGCACCGCAGACAAAAATAAACCACGGCGGGTGGGAAGGGAAAGCAACCTTTTTTAGCCTCAATCGATTGGATAGTGACGATGTTTCACCATAAAAAATAGTTAGTCTAAAAATCGTAAGAGTCAGGGAAATTATACTTTTCTATGTATGTTTAATGTAGCCTGCTAAAAAGTGCAAAAACAAATCAGAGGCGTTTTTTTGTTGTTGTTCACTTTACTTCCTTTGAGTGAAAGGGAAGGACATGGCTGACCAAAACTGTTGGCCCTACCTTTCACGATATGAAGGTACTCGTCGAGAGTTGAGAGAGGGTCCCCTTCGCGAGTCCAGAGGGCTGTTCCGTGGGCGGGTTGGCTTGGTGGGTACCAAGCGAGGCGGATGACAGCGCCGGCACAACTGACAAGCCCGGCGCGAGTCTGGCAAGGCAAGGCTGGGGCAAGGCGAACGAGACAAAGCGGGCCGGCGAGCGAAACGGCGAACCCCCAAATCCCCTCTCCTCTCTGCACCGCTCCGCCACGCTCTGCCACGCTCTGCGCGCGCCTCTTTAAAAGCGCACTCACGCCCCGCCGGCCGTCTCGCCGCGACCGCCCGCCTCTGTTGACAAGCGGAGGCGGTGGCAGCTGCAGCAGCTGCAGCAGCCATTGTAGCGGCAGCGCGTCCGCCTGTCTACCAATCCGTGATAACGGCCAGCGACTTACTCGCTCCGACTCGGCCGTGCCTTTGTTCTAAACAGTGGCGGCACGGCGGAGACGCGCGGCGCGGATCGCGCGGGACTTCCGGGACTTCCCTGCGCCGGCGGGCTGGCTTGGCGAAAAAAAAAACAAACGCGCTATCGCGCACCGTCGGCGACCCCCTCGAACTGCCCGATAGGCAACAGGCAACCCCGTCGCCCAGCCTCTGGGGTTGCCGGTTGCCTATCTCTTGCTGGCGCTTTCACGTTCTAATTTTCACGTTCCTAATTCAAATGTGCCCGCATTACCGACTCAAAAAACAAAACGTCAAATGGGGAGAGGAACCGTCAGGTTATGGCCTTTCACCGCGTGGTGCGCGGCCGCTACACGAGCGATGCAGAACACTGAGCCAAAATGGCCGCGGCCAGCGAGGATTGCGAGTAGGCAACTTAACGCTCTTAACGCATGGTCCCGATAAAAACAAGAAAACAAAAACCTGGCCAAAAATGAAACAAATCGGAAAAGAAGTCAACGAAAGAGGGGTGTTTAGACGTAAGTTTCTTTAAATTTCATAAAGACGCACCCATTCGATGTTCTGTTTTCTTTTTCAGTTGGTAATGTGGGTGGGTGGGGAAGCGCGTTCTGCCCGCCCTCGGTCGAACTACTCGCGATGCCAGAGAAGGCGGTGGTGGAGCGCCGGGCGCGCCAGGCACGAAAGGGTACGGGGAAAAACAGCTGATGGGAACCCTGTTAAATTCGCTCGCGTCGCTCAATTATTCCGCAACAAACCGCGACGACGAGGCGACAGGGGTGTGCACCTCGGGCAAGGTGCGTGGGTGTCGACATCGTGCCCAGGCACTGCGCAGTCGAACCGGAACATTTCTTCCTTGACAACTGAAGGTTTGTTTAGGTTAGCATCGATCGTGTTGGGTGGCGAAATATAAACATTTCCCTGGGCTGAACACAACAACACCAAAATGAACTCCAACTGTTTTGACGGTGAGCTAAAAGAAAAAAATAAGGGTTGTCCACGACATTCTTCTTTGCTAAGATTCAAAAGTTTGTGGTCATGAGTCGATCTGTTTATTTTTTACCAGGTTTATTACCAGAAAGTGACATGACATTGGCTGCGGTCTTGCCCGTGCAAACCAAGTTTTGCAATACTGGTTGGTGACGGAAGGCAGTCCAATATCAAATCGGTAAGTCATGTTTCCTGCAGTGCAGCGCTTGCTCGTTGATCCCGTAAGCAATGGGGGACGGGAATGTGATTTCCAGGTGTTTTAGGGTAGGTAAGCTTTTTAGGTGAACGTACATCTTGTAAGGCGACGACGTACAGAGCACCGCCGGCGAGGCAGGCAACACCTCGCTCTTACAGACGGGTAGTCTGCCTACCCGGCGCCGGGCCGGGCTTGTTCGAACGGAAGCAAGCCAAGCATGGGGTATCGACGATATGGGCCTGCTGCCCGTTCTTGCCCCAGGCCAGCGAGCAGCTCAGCCAGCGCCATGGAGAGGCCGCGGCCGCTCACGCCGCGCTTCCCCAAGGACCTGAAGGGCCCGGAGATGAGGGTGTTCATGGACCTGGTGGAGGGCGAGACGCGGCTGCCGGCCAACCTGGCGCCGCTGCCGGACGTGAACCAGTTCCGGAGCAAGGACGCGCAGGCCGGCGGCCAGGCCGTGCACCCGCTGCTCGCCTACAGCCTGTCGCGCCAGAAGGAGGAAGAGATCCAGCAGTACCTGCGCCGCCTCGCGCTCCGCACCAAGCTGCACCTGCTCAAGGAGAGCCCGCCCTCCTTCGACGAGGGCCACGAGCTGCCGCACACCAACGAGAGGTGGGTGGTATTCGGTTCGGCCGCTCGGCTCGAGGCTCAGCCGCGCCGTCGCGGCGTCCTCCACGTCCACGCCCGTGTCCACGTCCGTGTCCAGGTACATCGCCCTGCTCCGCGACCAGGTGGAGGCCGTGGAGCCGCCCACGCTGCTGCAGGTGTGGGTGGACCGCATCTCGTCGCTGGTGCCGGCGCGGCTGCGCGCGCAGTACCCCTCCGAGATGAACGCCCTGTTCCTGGAGGTGCGGGACGAGTTCGACGACCACATCCACGACATGACGGTGCGCAGCATCATGATGTGCTCGGGGCCTTCGGGGCCCTCGGGGGCCGCGCTGCAGACCTCCGTGGAGGCCCGGGCGGGCGTGGGCGTGGGCGGGCTGGGCGGCAAGCCCCTGGGCGAGGGCCGCACGGAGCGCTACCACATCTTCCTGCAGGTACAGTGCCAAGGCCGCTAAACACCAACAGCCAAAAGCATGTCTGGCGGATTGCGTCTAACTTTCCGAGTGTGGGCGCCGCACCCAGCGCGTGGAGACGCTGCAGGAGAAACTGTTCATCACGCACCCGCTGGTGCGCGCCATCCTGCGCCTGGCCCAGCAGCACGTCCCCGACCTCATCAACGACTTCGGCAAGTACCGCGAGACGGGCGTCGTGGAGCTGGCCAAGCTCAAGTCCAGCATGTTCAACGACATGAAGCGCAGCGAGGTGGTGGTCACGCAGACCTGGTACCCCAAGATCGTGGCGCTCTTCTCGGAGAAGAAGGCGCTGGCCGGCGTGCCGCGCAAGCACTGGCCCCAGTTCCTCAAGTGCGCCTCCAACGTGCTGCGGGTGCAGGTGGGTGGCCCGTCGCTGCACTGTAAGGCTTACAGTGTGTGCCCGCGAGGGGCGCTGGTTGTAACGTGTGGCCTTGGCAGGTGACCGAGCTGATGCGGCGCAGCATCGACCACTTCGTGGACATCATGAGCGACGAGGCGCGGATCCCCTTCTTCAAGCTGGACATCTTCTACGCCGAGAACGGCCTCGAGCTGTACCCCACCGACAAGGAGATCTTCGGCACCATGGCAAAAGTAACAAAAAAGTGTTTTCATTCGAAAGTGGCCTAAGTAGTTCATAAAGAAAATAATTTTGTAATTTTTTTCTGGCCCTGTCCCGTCGGTTTCAGGTGGTGGACTCGATTGCCACCATCGCGCAGGAGCTGCCCTCCCTGGAGACCTGGGTGGACGTGAGCTCGCGGGAGGAGCTCATCCCCATGAAGATCTGCGAGCCCTACTTGGAGGAGATGCAGGCGCGGCTGCTGCGCAACTTGACGCAACTGTTCAAGCCCGTCAAGGACCACCTGGGGACGCTGGCGGACCAGTACAAGATGCTGTACAGCGACGACCTCAAGAAGGTGTAGTAAACCACAATGCATGGAGATCACCTGCCACCTCCTCTTTTTTTTTCGAAGTTTAAGACAAGTTTTTAAAAAATATTTTTAGGATATTGCGGCGTACTTGGCCGAGCGGCACGAGTTCGAGGAGCTGCGTGAGAAGATCGACTTCTTCAACGGCTTCCTCGACAACATCTCCGACATGGTGGTGAACGAGTACTTCCCCGTGGCCAAGCTGTGCCAATACGACGTGATCAAGACGCTCAAGGAGTTCGCCAACAAATTCATCACTTCCATCGTCACCGACATGGTCGAGGAGCACAAGGCGGAAAACCGGAAAATCTGCGCCGCCTTCGAGGAGATCGTGGAGAAGGCGCAGCAGGTATTTTTGGCGGGGGGTGGTTACCCACTGGCTGGGCAATGGGTAGGGTAGGCAAACAGCACTCAGTTGCCCCTGCAAGTGTAGGCAAAAGGCGCTCCATTAACTCCTCCCCAGAAAAGTCCCGGATACACGGCAGTGTTTGCTTTCCGGGTGCCTCCAGGTGCCAGCGGACACGGCCGAGCTGATGGCGAGCGGCGAGTACATGCTGTACGCCACCACGACCTTGATGGAGGAGCTGCAGGCGCGCATCAAGCGCCAGATGGAGATCACCACCATGTTCATGGAGCTGACGGGGCTGGACGCCGAGCACATGGAGCTCAACACGGCCATCGTCACCTGGCAGACGGACATCAAGCGCACCTTCGAGCTCAACGCGTCGCTCTACGAGAAGTACAAGGTGGAGTTCGAGGAGGTGCTCAAGGCGCGCACGGACAAGCTCAACGAGGAGGTGGCCGACCTGGCGCCGCGCCTGGTCGTCTTCAACAACATGGACAGCGTGGACAAGCTGGCCGACTACTGCGAGAACATGCGCAAGTTCATCAAGCGGCTCGAGGAGTTTGACCGCGACGTGGCGTGGATCAACCGCGAGGAGACGCTCATGAAGTTCAGCGTCTCCAACTTCCCCGAGCTGGACGAGCTCAAGGCCATCATCATGCCCTTCGCCGAGCTCGTCTTCAGGTACGCGGCCGCCGAGGCCGCGGTTCGAACACCGGTATCATTACCTATTTATTTATATTTTTACGTTTTGCTTTCAATAATGTTTCTAGCTGCCACAAGTGGAAGCGCACCTACCGACTCTGGATGGACGGGACGTTCGAGGACCTGGACGGCGCGTCCATGGAGGAGATTACCGACAACTTCTACAAGGAGACGCAGCGCATGCAGAAGGCGTACCGCCAGAAGATCAAGCAGCAGGTGACGGAGAACTACAAGCGCCGCTTCAAGGGCAACATGGACGACCCCGACGTCAACAACCACCCGGCGCCGCTCAAGCTGTGCTACCAGGTAGGCGCCGGTCCGGGCGGCAGGCCTTGCCAGGCAGGCAGCTTGGACCCTGTCACCGCCGTGGTTTGCGTTCTCAGGTGCTGGAGCAGATCAAGGACTTCCGCTCCAACGTGCGGCTGGTGACCATCCTCTGCAACCCCGCGCTCACGCGCCGCCACTGGGAGGAAATGAACCAGATCCTCAACAAGAACATCACGCCGGACGCGGGCACCACGCTGCGCAAGATGACGGAGCTGGGCCTGGAGCCCTACATGGAGGAGTTCGAGATCGTGAGCGTGGGAGCGCTCAAGGAGCGGCAGCTGTTCGAGAACCTCAAGAAGATGCAGTCCGAGTGGCACGGCGTGCACTTTGTCACCAACACGTACAAGGAGACCAAGATCCCCATCCTGGGCTCGCTGGACGACGTGCAGGTCAGTGGGCTGGCTGTTGGAACTTGGACCGGAGTTGGCGGTTTCTTTAGCCCGCGCTGTTTCAGGCGTTGCTGGACGAGCACCTCGTCAAGACGCTGTCCATGCGCGGCTCGGCCTTCGTGAAGCCCTACGCCGCGGAGGTGCGCGCGTGGTACGACCTGGTGACGCGCGTCAACGCCACCCTGGAGCAGTGGGGCCGCGTCCAGGCCGGCTGGATGTACCTGCTGCCCATCTTCTCGTCCAAGGACATCTGCGCCCAGATGCCGGCCGAGAGCGACCTGTTCAACGACCTGGACGCGGTCTACCGCCGCATCATGCTCACCGTGGTCAAGGACCCCCGCGTGCTGGAGACGGGCGGCGGCCCGGGCGTGCTGGAGAGCCTCACGGACTGCATCGAGAGCCTGGAGAAGATCAACGACGGCGTGAACCGCTACCTCGAGCAGAAGCGCCTCTTCTTCCCCCGCTTCTTCTTCCTCTCCAACGACGAGATGCTGGAGATCCTGTCCGAGACCAAGGACCCCCTGCGCGTGCAGCCGCACCTGCGCAAGTGCTTCGAGGGCATCGCGCGGCTGGAGTTCGACGCCGAGCTCAACATCCACGCCATGTTCAGCTCGGAGGAGGAGCGCATCGAGCTCTGCGACGCCATCTCCACCGAGGAGGCGCGCGGCAGCGTCGAGAAGTGGCTGGTGCGCGTCGAGGAGCAGATGCTGCAGACCGTGCGTGACGTCATCTTCCGCAGCTGGAAGGTGTACCCAGTGCACGCCAGGGAGGCCTGGGTCTGCGAGTGGCCGGGGCAGGTGGTGCTGTGCGTGTCGCAGGTGGGTGCTTTGTCCCTGTCCGAGCCCCGTCGCGGCCAAATCGCACCACTACACACAGGCTCCTTCCCCCTCCAGGTGTACTGGACGGCCGAGGTGCACAACTGCCTCAAGTCGGGCCACCCCCGCGACCTGGTCGAGTACCACGGCAAGCTGGAGGAGCAGCTGGGCGCCATCGTGGCGCTGGTGCGCGGCAAGCTGTCGCGACAGACCAGGGTCACCCTGGGCGCGCTGGTCGTCATCGACGTGCACGCCAAGGACGTGGTGCTGGACCTGGCCGAGAAGGGCGTGTCCTCGGAGCAGGACTTCCAGTGGCTGGCGCAACTGAGGTAAGCGACCCCCAAACTATTTGTGGGTTTCTGAGGCGGGGCATGAGTTTGGGTACGGCGCAGGTACTACTGGGAGGACAACTGCCTGGTGCGCCTCATCAACGCGACGGTGCCGTACGCGTACGAGTACCTGGGCAACACGCCGCGCCTCGTCATCACCCCCCTGACGGACCGCTGCTACCGCACGCTCATTGGCGCCTACCACCTGCACCTCAACGGCGCCCCCGAGGGCCCCGCCGGCACGGGCAAGACGGAGACCACCAAGGACCTGGCCAAGGCGCTGGCGGTGCAGTGCATCGTGTTCAACTGCTCCGACGGCCTGGACTACATCGCCATGGGCAAGTTCTTCAAGGGGCTGGCCTCGTCCGGCGCCTGGGCCTGCTTCGACGAGTTCAACCGCATCGAGCTGGAGGTGCTCTCCGTCGTGGCGCAGCAGATCCTCTGCATCATCGTCGCCATCCAGGCCAACCAGAGCACGCTCAACTTCGAGGGCACCCAGGTACCCTCCCTTCTATGGTAGCGCACCCTGTTTAATTCGACATGTTACAGTGTGGGAGCGTGCCTCTGCCCACAGCTCAAGCTGAACCCGGCCTGCTACATCTGCATCACGATGAACCCCGGGTACGCGGGGCGCTCCGAGCTGCCGGACAACCTCAAGGTGCTGTTCCGCACCGTGGCCATGATGGTCCCGGACTACGCGCTCATCGGGGAGATCTCGCTGTACTCGTACGGCTACGTGGAGGCGCGCAGCCTGTCCGTCAAGATCGTCACGACGTACCGCCTGTGCTCCGAGCAGCTGTCCTCGCAGTCGCACTACGACTACGGCATGCGCGCCGTCAAGAGCGTCCTGTCGGCGGCCGGCAACGTCAAGCTCAAGTACCCCGCCGAGAAGGAGGAGATCCTGCTGCTGCGCTCCATCATCGACGTCAACCTCCCCAAGTTCCTGAACCACGACGTGCCGCTGTTCCAGGTGAGTGGCTGCAGGCTCGGACTGGCCCCCAAAAGGCCCCAGCGGATAAGACCGCAAGAGGCCCCCGATCATCATTATGTTTTTACCCTTCATGACCAACTTTGTGAGGCTACCGCTCCCAAACTAGTTGCGGTCAATAGCCTTCCCGATACAGGGCATGAAAGAGTAGGGTCTTAAGAGTACTAGGGCGTCGGGGGAAGCCTTTTACGGCAACTAGATTGGACAAAGTGGCCGCCCAAAGTCAGCAAAATCAGCAAATTTCCGAGATTCGACCACTTTTTGACCAACTTGGTCGGAAAATCGTTGCGGTCAAAGGCAAAATCGTTGTGGTCAACGTCTTCCCGATGCAGGGCATGAAAGAGTAGGGTCTTAAGAATACTAGGACGTCGAGGGAGGCCTTTTACGGCGACTAGATTGGACACAGTGGCCACCCAAAGTCAGCAAAATCAGCAAATTTCCGAGATTCGACCACTTTTGACCAACTTAGTCGGAAAATCGTTGCGGTCAAAGCCAAAATCGTTGTGGTCAACGTCTTCCCGATGCAGGGCATGAAAGAGTAGGGTCTTAAGAATACTAGGGCGTCGAGGGAGGCCGTTGACCGCAATTAGATCGGACGCAGTGGCCGCCCAAAATCAGCGAAAACGGCTACTTTCGTCCTATATATACTAGGACTCTTTGACCAACTTTGTGACGTTACTGGTCCCAAACCCGAAAGGCTCCGGCAGATTTTTCTGCCTGTCTGCCCTGGCCAGTCCGAGCCTGAGTGGCTGGACAGTGTGTCGCGTGCCTTCGCTTCCCGCGTGACGTGTCCTCTCCGTCCAGGGCATCATCGCGGACCTGTTCCCCGGCGTGGAGCTGCCCGCGCCGGACTACTCCAACATGAAGGCGGCGGTGGACGCGGTGTGCGCCAGGCGCAACCTGCAGCCCGTCGAGTACTTCTTCACCAAGGTGGTGCAGACCTACGAGATGATGGTGGTGCGCCACGGCTTCATGCTCGTCGGCGAGCCCTTCAGCGGCAAGACGAGCGCGCTGCACGTGCTGGCCGACGCGCTGGGCGCCATGGCGGCCGAGGGGCTGGCCGAGGTGGGCGTGGACCTGGCCACGCTCAACCCCAAGGCCATCACGCTGGGCCAGCTGTACGGCCAGTTCGACCCCGTGTCGTACGAGTGGTCCGACGGCGTGGTCGCCAAGGCCTTCCGCGACTTCGCCATGTCCACGGACGGCCGCCGGAAGTGGATCGTCTTCGACGGCCCCGTGGACGCCGTGTGGATCGAGAACATGAACACGGTGCTGGACGACAACAAGAAGCTGTGCCTGACGTCGGGCGAGGTCGTCACCATGTCGTCCACCATGTCCATGATCTTCGAGGTGATGGACCTGCTGCAGGCGTCCCCGGCCACGGTGTCGCGGTGCGGCATGATCTACCTGGAGCCCAGCACGCTGGGGTGGCGCCCCCTCGTGGACTCGTGGCTGCGCGCCCCGTCGCACGCCGCGGCCAAGCGCACCGCCGTGCCGAGCAGCTCGGCGGTGGAGGACGCCCAGGGCCACAGCGTGGCCCCGCCGTCGGGGACCTTGCTCGCGCCGACGATGCCGTCCGCGGGCAACCTGAGCCCCAGCCACGGCCCCGGTCACGGCTCCGGCCACGGCCTCGGCCACAGCGAGGCGTCCGTGAGGCCCCCAGGGGCACCGTCGCGCTGGAAGGAAGACTACCGCCAGCTCGTGAGCGACATCCTGGACTGGCTGGTGCCGGCCTGCACCACCTTCCTGCGGCGCCACTGCGCGCACCTCGTGGACGCGGGCGTGTCCAACAACGTGCGCGGCGTGCTGCAGCTGGCCGAGATGCTGCTGGACGAGGCGGCCGCCACGTGGGAGGACCTGGAGAAGTACGCCATGCCCTGGATGCACGCCACCTTCATCTACGCGGGCATCTGGGGCTTCGGCGGCGCGCTGGACACCGCCTCGCAGGAGAAGTTCGACGAGTTCTTCAAGGACCTGTGGCGCGGCAACAGCGAGGCGCACCCGGTGCCCGAGTCCGTGGGCCCCGTCGAGGTGTCCATCCCCCACGAGGGGCTGCTCTACGACTACGTGTTCGTGTACCGCCAGAAGGGCGCGTGGAAGCACTGGCCCGAGCTGCTGCGCGGCGCCAAGATGACGGAGACCATCAACATCCAGCAGATGGTGGTGCCCACCGTGGAGTCCCTCAAGTACGGCCACCTGCTGGAGATGCACGTGCGCCACAGCGTGCCCTTCCTGCTGGTGGGGCCCACGGGCACGGGGAAGAGCTTCTACATCCAGGACCTGCTGATGAACAAGCTGGACCAGGACAACTACCTGCCCGCCTTCATCACCTTCACGGCGCAGACGTCGGCCAACCAGACGCAGGAGCTGGTGCTGTCCAAGCTCAACAAGCGGCGCCGCGGCCTCTACGGCCCGCCGCCGGGCAAGAAGTGCGTCATCTTCGTGGACGACATGAACATGCCCCAGAAGGAGGTCTACGGCGCGCAGCCCGCCATCGAGCTGCTGCGGCAGTACTTCGACCACGGCAACTGGTTCGACCTCAAGGTGAGATAGTGCTGGCTGCTGACGAGCTTCGTTTCTCGCCTCTTCTTGACGCCCCGATGTTCCTTCCAGGACTGCTCCAAACTGTTTCTCGACGACATCCTGCTGGTGACGGCTTGCGGCCCCCCGGGGGGCAGCCGGCAGGACGTGTACCGTCGGTTCCTGCGGCACTTCAAGCTGTACGCCATCAACCCCTTCAGCGAGGACAGCATGACCAAGATCTTCACCAACGTGCTCCAGGTGAGATACCAGCAAGTGGCTGCGGGGCTGAAGCCATTCAGTGGCGAAAGTAAAGCAGTCGCCTGCAGCCATTTGCAGTAGAATAGCTGAGGAGTTTCGAAAGTCCGCCACCAACTCGACGCCGCTTGCTGCTGCTGCAGGTGGGGCTGCGGCGCACGGGCTTCGGGCAGGACGCCATGCAGTCCATCCAGTGCGTGGTGGCGGCCACGCTCGAGGTGTACCAGTCCGCCACGCGCGAGCTGCGGCCCACGCCCGCCAAGTCGCACTACGTGTTCAACCTGCGCGACGTGTCGCGCGTCGTGCAGGGCTGCTCGCTGGCCCGCAAGGAGTCCGTGGACTCGAAGCGCTTCTTCGTCAACCTGTGGACGCACGAGGTGCTGCGCGTGTTCTACGACCGCCTGGTGGACGACGGCGACCGCGAGTGGCTGTTCGCGCTGGTGCGCGCGTGCGTGCACACCCACTTCAAGGAGAGCCTGGACGTGTGCCTGGAGAACCAGTGCGACGAGCAGGGCGTGGTGACGCGCCAGGCGCTCGACACGCTCATCTTCGGCAACTTCATGGACCCCGACGTGGCGGACGACGAGCGCCGCTACGAGGAGATCGCACGTCTGCAGGACTTCAAGAGCCTGGCCGAGGCCGTGATGGACGAGTTCAACGCGTCGCACAAGACCAAGATCGACGTGGTGCTGTTCGAGTACGCCCTGGTGCACCTGGCCCGGGTGTGCCGCGTCATCGCCTGCCCGGGCGGCTCCGGACTGCTCGTCGGCGTGGGGGGCTCGGGGCGCCAGTCGCTCACCCGCCTGGGCAACGCCATCATGGGCAGCACCATCTTCCAGCCAGAGATCACCAAGAACTACGGAGTGTCGGACTGGCGCGACGACCTCAAGCAGGTGCGCTTTTATTTACTCAATTTTTTAAAAAATTGTTTTTAGTTTGAAATTCAAATACGGACCTGTTGTTTCATTGGCAGTAGTAGGCAGTCTTTTTTAAATACCCGTTACCAGTTGTTCGAGCGGCAACTTTTTCTGGGAGGCGCCTGCCGACGGAATGGCAGGCACGCCCGTTACGCTCGCGTGCTGCGCGGGCGGCCTACCCCGCGATCCGCAGGCGCTAGTCCTCACCCCCTGCGTTGCGTTGCCCATCCAGGTGCTCAAGGAGTCCGGGGGCCGCGGCAAGGACACGGTGTTCCTGTTCAACGAGACGCAGATCAAGGAGGAGGTGTTCCTGCAGGACATCGACGCGCTGCTCAACTCGGGGGAAGTGCCCAACATCTTCCCCATCGACGAGAAGCAGGAGATCCTGGAGCTGGTGCGGCTGGCGGCGCAGGGCGGCAACCGCAACATGGACGTGAGCCCGCTGCAGGTGTTCGCCTTCTTCATCAACCGCTGCAAGCAGAAGCTGCACATGATGCTGTGCTTCAGCCCCATCGGGCCCTCGTTCCGCGCGCGCCTGCGCCTCTACCCGTCCCTCGTCAACTGCTGCACCATCGACTGGTACGAGATGTGGCCCGAGGACGCCCTGGGCAAGGTGGCCACGCGCTACCTGGCCGACGTGGCGCTCGACGCCGCCGTGCGCACCGCCGCCGTGCAGGCCTGCAAGTACTTCCACTCCACGTCCAAGGTACGAGGGGGTCCACCTTCAGCGCAAATATTTAATGTGAATTCTCTTGACCATGTTCTGTTGTGCTCCAGGTGAGCGCGGACCGCTTCTACGCGTCGACCGGCCGCAAGACGTACATCACCTCCTCCGCCTTCCTGGAGCTCATCAAGTCGTTCGCGAGGCTGACGGTGGCCAAACAGGAGGAGATCATGGAGTCGAAGAACCGGTACATGGGCGGCCTGGACAAGCTGGACTTCGCCGCGGCGCAGGTGGCGCAGATGCAGACCGAGCTGACGAACCTCCAGCCGCGACTGGCGCACGCGGTGAAGGAGTCCTCCAAGATGCTGGCCATCATCGAGCAGGAGACGATCAAGGTGGAGCAGGCCACGGACCTGGTGCGCGAGGACGAGAAGGTGGCCAACGCGCAGGCCGACGCGTCGCAGGCGCTCAAGTCGGAGTGCGAGGCGGACCTGGCACTGGCCATCCCCATCCTAGAGGAGGCCATCAACGCCCTAAACACGCTCAAGCCGCAGGACATCACCCTGGTCAAGTCCATGAAGAACCCGCCCGACGCCGTCAAGATGGTGATGGCGGCAGTGTGCATCATGAGGGACATCCCGCCCGACCGCATGCCCGACCCGGCCACGGGCAGGAAAATCCTCGACTACTGGGGCCCCAGCCTCAAGCTGCTCGGCGACATCAACTTCCTGCAGACGCTCAAGGACTACGACAAGGACAACATCCCGCCCGCGCTCATGGCCAAGATCCGCAAGGAGTATCTCCCCAACAAGGACTTCAAGCCCAGCGTGGTGGCCAAGGCGTCCTCCGCCGCCGAGGGGCTGTGCAAGTGGATCATCGCCATGGACATGTACGACGTCGTGGCCAAGGAGGTGGCGCCCAAGAAGGCCAAGCTGGAGATCGCCGAGAAGGAGTACGCCGCCACCATGGCCCTGCTGGAGGAGAAGCGCGGACAGGTCAGTCAGTCGCAATTTTTGCAGTGCTGAGTGCAGCGGTTCTCAACCTTTCTCGGCTCGCGACCCCAAATTTGTAGACAAAAATTTCCGCGACCCCCAGGAAAAATTTCGCGACCCCACGGAACCCCTCCTTTAGCATGCCACTGCGTCTGATCCGAGGCGGGCATTTTGCTCCCTCAACGGGCAATTGGTCTTTGGACCTTCCTTTAGCATGCCTTTGTTACGGAGTGCAATTATCAGTCTTAGTTTGGGAGCAGTATAGTCTCAAAGTTGGCCGAAACGCTCAGAAATGTCTTTGAAAAATCGTGTTTTGGGCCGATTTTAAGCAGCCACTGCGTCTGATCCGATGCGGTATTTCGTCCTCCCTCAACGGGCAATTGGTCTTTGGACCTTCCTTTAGCATGCCTTTGTTACGGAGTGCGATTATCAGTCTTAGTTTGGGAGCAGTATTGTCTCAAAGTTGACCAAAACAGTCACAGCGCGACCGTTTTGATCGACTTTGCGGCAATACTGCTCCCAAGCTAAGGCAGATAATCGCACTCCGTAACAAAGGCATGCGAAAGGAAGGTCTAAAGACCAATTGCCCGTTGAGGGAGCAAAATGCCCGCCTCGGATCAGACGCAGTGGCTGCTTAAATCGGCCCAAACACGATTTTTCAAAGACATTTCTGACGTTTCGGCATTGAGACTATACTGCTCCCAAACTAAGACTGATAATTGCACTCCGTAACAAAGGCATGCTAAAGAAAGGTCCAAAGACCAATTGCCCGTTGAGGGAGCAAAATGCCCGCCTCGGATCAGACGCAGTGGCTGCTTAAAACCCGCCCAAAACACAACCCCAGCTACCTCGCCGCGACCCCTTAAAAAAAATTTCGCGACCACTGGCTTAGTGGGAGGGTGCTTCGTGACGCGGAGCTCTTCGGTTGCAGGTGCGCGCGCTGGAGGACAAGCTGGCCCAGCTGACCGAGCAGCTGAACGAGGCCAACGAACGCAAGCAGGCGCTGCAGGACGACGTCAAGCTGTGCGAGAACAAGCTGGAGCGCGCCAACAAGCTCATCAACGGCCTCGGCGGCGAGAAGGCGCGCTGGTCGCTGGCCGCCAAGAACCTGCAGACCAACTACGACTGCCTGGCCGGCGACATCCTGGTGTCCTGCGGCGTCATCGCCTACCTGGCCACCTTCACGACGCCCTTCCGCGTCGAGGCCGTCGCCAAGTGGCGCGAGTACGTCATGGCGCTCAAGATCCCCTTCTCGGCCGAGTTCAGCTTCGTCAAGGTGCTCGGCTCGGAGATCAAGACGCAGGGCTGGAACATCCACGGGCTGCCCCGGGACGCCTTCTCCATCGAGAACGCCATCATCGTGGACTGCTCCAAGCGGTGGTCGCTCATGGTGGACCCGCAAGGCCAGGCCAACAAGTGGATCAAAGGCAAGGACGTCGCCCTGTGGCTGTGTCGAGCTCGCGAATGTTTGAATGACTTTATCCCTTTGGTTTCAGGTATGGAGAAGGCGAATGACCTGCAGATCGCCAAGTTCACCGACGCGGACTACATGAAGACCGTGGAGCTGTGCGTGTCGACGGGCAAGCCGCTGCTGCTGGAGAACGTGCTGGAGGACCTGGAGGCCCCGATGGACCCCGTGCTCTTCAAGATGACCTTCTCGCAGGTGAGGCAAGGCGCCACGCGTGTCGCGCTAGACAGCCTTCGACATTTCACAAACGATGAATCCCATTTTTTGCGTCAGGGGGGCGTGGCGTACATCAGCCTCGGCGACAACGTGGTCGAGTACCACCCCAACTTCAAGCTGTACATGACGTCGCGCCTCCGCAACCCGCACTACCTGCCCGACGTCTTCAACAAAGTGACCATCGTCAACTTCGCGCTGACCGTGGACGGCCTGGAGGACCAGCTGCTGGGCATCGTGGTGGCCAAGGAGAGGCCCGACCTGGAGGACAAGCGCCAGAGCCTCATCGTGCAGAGCGCGGCCAACAAGAAGGCCCTCAGCGACGTGGAGGAAATGATCCTCAAGACGCTGTCGCAGTCCAAGGGGAACATCCTAGAGGACGAGACGGCCATCCGGGTGCTGGACGAGTCCAAGCTGCTGTCCGAGGACATCATCCGGAAGCAGGAGGCCACCAAGGAGACGGAGGACAAGATCGAGAGCTTCCGGCACAACTACCAGTCCATCGCCAAGCACTCCGCCTCGCTGTACTACTGCGTCACCGACCTGCCCAACATCGACCCCATGTACCAGTACTCGCTGACCTGGTTCATCAACATCTACATCATGTCCATCGAGACCGCCAACAAGTCGCGCGACCTGGACCGCCGACTGGCCTTCCTCACCGACACCTTCACCTACAACCTGTACTGCAACGTCTGCAGGTCTGTCTGTCCGCTCGCGTCCGAATCCCCCCTGTGGCGGCAGTGCCTTTACTGACTCTCGCTCTTTGGGCAGGTCGCTGTTCGAGAAGGACAAGCTGCTGTTCTCCTTCATCCTCTGCACCTCCATCATGCTGGCCAAGCGCACCCTCACCAAGCAGGAGCTCAACTTCTTCCTGACGGGCGGCGTGGGCCTGGAGAACCCCAACCCGAACCCCGCCGCGGCCTGGCTCCCCGACAAGCACTGGGACGAGGTAGGCGTCGAGGGACACTCTGCCCGCGGCCCCGAGTTCGAATACCGCCTTGTACAGTTTTTGTGGCGCTGCAGGTGTGCCGCGTGGACGAGGTGCCCGGCTTCGCCGGCTTCCGCCAGTCGTTCACGGCGGGCCTGTCCGAGTGGAAGCAGTACTACGACCTGGCCGAGCCGCAGACCGCGTCGCCGCCCCGGGCGTGGACCGGCGGCAAGGACCCCAGCCTGTTCCAGAAGCTCATCTGCCTGCGCATGGTGCGCCCCGACAAGGTGAGCCCACGACCAGCGCCATGGTGATGGTAAGGACGCCGACTCGACGCTGCCACTGCCCCGCTCTGCCCCAGGTGACGCACGCCGTGAGCGCGCTGGTGCAGAGCCACCTGGACAAGAGGTACGTGTCGCCGCCGCCCTTCGACATCGCGCGCTCCTACGAGGACTCCAACTGCCTGGCGCCGCTCATCTTCATCCTGTCGCCCGGCGCCGACCCCATGGCCGCGCTGCTCAAGTTCGCCACCAAGATGGGCGTGGCCAACAAGTTCCAGTCCATCTCGCTGGGCCAGGGCCAGGGCCCCATCGCCGCGGCCATGGTCAAGGAGGCGCAGGTAGGGTGGAGCCCCCAGTGTAGGCGCCTCCGCTAACTTGAACTTGAGACGCTGGCCAACAAACAATGTTTGCTTTGCAGGCGGAAGGCGGCTGGGTCTGCCTCCAGAACTGCCACGTGGCCGAGTCCTTCATGACGCCCCTGGAGAAGATCTGGGAGGGCTTCGACACCAACAACACGTCGCTGGGCTTCCGGCTGTGGCTCACCAGCTACCCGTCGGCCGCGTTCCCCGCCTCCCTGCTGCAGAACGGCGTCAAGATGACCAACGAGCCGCCCACGGGGCTGCAGCAGAACCTGCTGCGCTCCTACCTCTCCGAGCCCGTCAAGGACCCCGAGTTCTTCGAGGGCTGCCCCGGCAAGGACAGGGTGTTCGTCAAGCTGCTCTACGGCATCTGCTTCTTCCACGCCGTGATCCAGGTCACTGTCGCCGGGGTGCTTGTTCCCCCCACAGCGCGGCACGGCGGCATGCTCACGTTTTTCTCTTGGCAGGAGCGGCGCAAGTTCGGCCCCATCGGCTGGAACATTCCGTACGGCTTCAACGAGTCGGACTTCGCCATCTCGGTCCGACAGCTGCAAATGTTCATCAACGAGTACGAGCAGGTAAGTCTCTGCCCTTCTCGCTGCCCCGCCCCCCAGCCCCGGAGGAATAGAAACTGACCAGACTCTGCGCCTGCCAGGTGCCGTACCAGGCCATCTCGTACTTGACGGGCGAGTGCAACTACGGCGGGCGCGTGACGGACGACTGGGACCGGCGCGCCCTCGTCGTCGTCCTGTCCAACTTCGTCAACGACAACGTGGTGACGGACGCCAACTACGTCTTCTGCCCCGGCGGCCCCCAGTACGGCCTGCCGCGCAAGAACGACTACCGCGAGTACGTCCGCCACGTGGAGGCCCTGCCGTCGCTGCCGCCGCCCGAGGTGTACGGGCTGCACGTCAACGCGGGCATCAGCAAGGACCTGCAGGCCACCCGGGCGCTCGTCGACACCATGCTGTCCGTGCAGGGCCGGGTGAGTCGCTGGCGTCGCGTGGCGCTGCGGCTGGGGGAATTCCACTGCCGCCCCCGCTCTGTCTGACGAGCACGCCGATTGCCGCAGGTTTCGGTGGACGGCGGCCAGACGGAGCACGTGATCCTCACAATCGCCAACGACATCCTCGCCAAGCTGCCCCCGCCGTTCGACCTGGAGCTGGCCGCGCAGCGCTTCCCCGTCTCCTACTCCGAGTCCATGAACACGGTGCTGGTGCAGGAGATGGAGCGCTTCAACAGGCTGGAGGGCGTGGTGCGGCGCTCCCTGCAGGAGCTCCAGCGCGCCGTCAACGGCCTCATCGTCATGTCCCCCGAGCTGGACGCCGTGGCCAACGCGCTGCTCGTGTCCAAGGTGCCCGCAGCCTGGAGTGCCGCGTCGTACCCCAGCCTCAAGCCCCTCGCCAGCTACGTCGCCGACCTGTGCGAGCGCATGCGTGCGCTGCAGCACTGGCACGACAACGGCAGGCCCAGCGTCTTCTGGCTGTCCGGGTTCTTCTTCACGCAGGTGTGTGTGTGCGCGCGCCTCCTGTGAAGTGCGGGCTAGGCAACACGCGCGACAGAGCCGTCGAGCGGGTGAGGCGAGGCGGTGTTTGATTGTAAGTTTTCAATTTCCTTTCCAGGCGTTTCTCACCGGAGCCATGCAGGACTTTGCTCGCAAGTACACCATTCCCATCGACCAGCTTACGTTCGACTTCGAGGTGCGCGGCTCAGACGACGCAAGCGTGGCCCCCCAGGACGGCGTCTACTGCCACCGCCTGTACCTGGACGGCGCTCGCTGGGACAGAGGCGCGGGGGCCCTGGCTGAGCAGCTCCCGAAGGTGAGTTTGGGGTGCCAATTCCCAGCACTGTGTGTCTACCAACATCATAGCTTTCGGTGACACATCTGAGGACTCCCAGTGTATACTTATATTTCTCTAAATGTTTTCAGGTGCTGAATGATATGATGCCTGTCATTTGGTTTAAACCTACTCGAAAGCAAGATCTAAATGAAGGACGCAGATACCGTTGCCCTCTCTATCGAACATCAGAACGGAGAGGGGTCTTGTCTACTACAGGTCATTCGACAAACTTTGTGCTGGCACTACTTTTGGAAACAGACAAGCCGGTAAAACACTGGATTCAGAGAGGAACAGCTCTGTTATCTCAATTAGACGATTAATAACCATCTGTGATAAGACTTTAGAATTGAACTGAAACAAAATAAAATAAAAATGAATTTTTTCTTTGAACTGTTTCATTGTGCACAGTAATTTAGGTCTTGTTGCGGCTCCTACAATAAATAAGGCACAATATTTTAAGACAAAAACTAGTTCAGTATGACTTTATTACAAAATAGGACACAATAACAATATACATACAACATGAGGGAAATCAGTACTCCCTGTGTGGCCAGTGTGGCAACATAGAAGGAGGATGCGCGATGAAGTACTTCCCTTTGAGAATGCGTCTCATAAGGATCGACCGCCCTCCTTCAGTTTTAATACGTTCTTCCCAAGTAAACTTCAGTCTCTTGTGCTCCCGGGGTTTCGGGAAATAGTTTCGAACCTTGTGGCGAACTGACAGTAGCGACCAACCACCACCAATCAGGGCAGGAGTTGCCGACGGTGCACAGTCCAACAAGGGAGCCCCTGGAGCAGGGGCAGGCATGTTGTTCTGGGGAATGGATGTCAGCTGGGCAGCGAGCTGATGAAGCTGACGGGTACGATGCAAAGTGACATCTCCCAACCTCCTGCAACAAGCGATAAAATCCGTTATTTTTCAAAGGAACTCAATTTGGAAGTGAGGTTAGTTTCGGTAAATAGACCGTGTGCCCCATTTCTAGACCTTACCTGAACATGTTGCACTTTGAAGTTAGACTAAGCGACATTTTCTAATATACTGCACTAGTTTCCAGTCGCTTTAAAGCTTCTATTCTAAAAAATCTCCACGTTTAAAGCGGTTGTCTGTGTCTTGTCCGTACTTATTTCTGTTGTCTGCTTCTGCTTTCAAGTGGGAGTCTTTTAATTTTTCATACCTAAAAGAGAAAGCTATGAAAAACTGCGCGTAGCTGCGAACTCCAGTGGAATTTTTTGGCAGGCGCGCGCGCGCTTTCCCGTTACGGTTGTTGACTGTTAGCGAAAGATGTTGTGAGTTGTGACAGGTTTTAGGTCGAGGCCAAAAAATGAATTTTTAGCTTCCATCCTCGATTTTTCTCTGTAACCCTGTCGACATGAGTGCTTCTCGGTCCAAGTTCCTTGCCTCGAAAACTAAGAGAAAAGAAGAAAGCGACGAAGAGGATTACGACAGTGAAGAAGAGAGGTATCGCTGGAAGCAGCAGAGGCTGCTCAAAAAGGTGGAGGAGAGTGCTTCTGCTATTCGAGCTGTGAACGAAATCACTCGTCCGTTTGTGACCGGGACGTGGAGGCTGGAAAGAGAAGAGCAGCGGATTGCTGCTGCAACAATGGCCTCTACTTCTCTCAGCAAAGAGAACAAGCTCCACCCCGCGTCGTCCAGCAGAGGTAGTGAGTCTTGGAATGAGAAGAATGATGCTACTGATAAGGCAGATAGCCACAGGAGGAAGAGCATATGGTCTCCCATAAAACATGTGAAAACCACTGACGTCCAATCTGTTTTGGAAATGGAAAAAACTCCCACTTGGAAACCTCTGCGTAAAAGTAAGGCAAGACAGTCATTAGCTCTCTTCAATACAGAAAACGCTCGCAACTCTGTTGACGATGACGACATCACAAGTGCCTGCAAACCTTTATCTGATAAAAGTGCTTTGGAGAAAACTCCAGTACTTAAAGGACCAGAAGAAGTACGTACTCCTTTGAGAGATGTTGTTGGACTGAACCAAGCAGTTGGGAGAAGAAAGAGTCTATCAATTTCAAATGATACCACACCAGCTCCTCCTGCTGATTCTGATGACGCTACCATGAACGATCCAATCAAAGTGGAAAATATTGTGAGAGAAAATCACCCAGTTGAAATTATGATAAGTGACTCAGATCTATCTGGAGGTACTCCATCGAGGAGTTCTTCAATGGAAGAAACAGAAGTTATTACCCCAGTCACCCAAACTCGAAGTTTCTTGAAGAGCTATAAGTCACCTGTAAGATGTTCTCCAATCTTACTGCAGGCTTATGGTGAAGAATTTGCTAAAGTTCGAGGATCAATTGGTTCTCCAGATAAGGTTGTCAACCTAAATGAATGTAGCAGCCCTAAAGATGCTTCTAAAGTACTGAAAGGTAATGCTTTGTTTCAAATGCAGCATACTCAAATAATGTTGTACAACACCTCTTTTTATTTTAATCCCTCCTTTCCTTCTTTCTAAAGGTGTCACTGCATATGTGGAAGTCAGGAGAGGAGAGGACGATCGCACTGGAGGGTTCCGATGGAAACTGAAACAGTTGGGAGCAAATGTTTCAGACACACTGAACAAAAAGGTACATTTTCTGACAGCAAATCTCTTCCTCAGACACTCTTTTTCTGTGCCAAACTTAATACTTTTGGTTCTCTTTTGCCTTCAGGTCACACATGTTGTATTTCAGGAGGGTCTCCTGTCCACTTTTCGAAAGGCCAAACAGATTGGGGCTCATCTTGTGTCAACACACTGGGTAATGGCATGTGATGAAAGTTTTAGCAAAATTGATGAAGCAAGATATCCCATTGAAAAACTTGAACAGTATGAGTTTGCTGATCCACTTCAAAAGTCCATCAAGGTGAGTTATTTGGGTTTGTTTCTTGCTGACCTCACAGTTTCCTCACACATATTGTAACCTATTTTCTGTTTGTCCCCTTTTTAGAGGCCAAAAATAATGTCTCCTGATCTGGGTACAGGAAGAGATGACAAACTACTGTCCAAAAGATTACAACGTAGAAGCATAAGGGTTGACTCTCCACTGACTAAACCTAATGTTATTTCAACTTTTAAGACACCCTCTCCTTTGGTGTGTATTACAGTAACACTTAGAAAAGTGTTCCTTTTTTTTTCCTTTTAACTATAATGTTTTTTCCTTATTCAAACCTTTTTTTCCCCCTTCCAGAAAAGGATGAACTATGTTACAAGGTCATCTCCCAGTCCTAAAAAACTATTGAATGAGGATTCTAATGATGATTGGGATGGCTTTTTAGCTATGGTTGAAGCCCAAGTCAGAGAAAAGGCCGAAAGCAGACGAAAAACGGGGGAGATGAATGGAACCCATGAAGATTTTGAAACACGACTACAGCGTCTCCTTGGACAGGACAAAGACAACTGTCAAGCCAAGCCACCTCTTGCCTCAATGTAAGACACAGTTCCAAAGAAAGATCGTATCATGAAGTATTGTTAAGTATCTATTTATCAATGCATAAATATTTTCTCCTACAGCTTTCAGAGGGGCAAAGTCTCAACTAATGTCACTACAAAGCCAAGTCCCAAAAGGACAAAAGAAGCCAAGAAGCCAATGCCAACTTCAGACTCAACTTCAAGAAATTCATTTATGATGAGTTGGTTACAAAGCCGGTCTCCAGAAAAGGGAGGCAAGTTTGGCAGTTGTGATTTATCATCTGCTGCTACAGCTGCTTCTGCTGCAGCTGATGCAATTTTGAAGTCCATGTTCAAATCTACTTTATCAACCACAGAATCTAGAGGTAAGCCTGCTGCGAAGGTTGTTAATGGGTCCAACAAATCTCTAAAGACATCTAAAACCACACCAAATGAACCTTTTGTGTTTGGTGGTAAACCTGAAAATGCAAAAGCTGTGCATTTTGTCTTTGCTGGTAAATCTGAAAATACAAAAGCTGTGTCCCAATCTGCTAAGAAACCAATTAAGAAAAGCAAATTTGAGTTCCAAGGAAGTACAGCATGTTCAGGTGTGATGCGTAACTGGTTATCTGGTGCAAAGTCACCAACCCAACTGACCAAGAATCCTCTAAACAAGCACAGCTCTCCTCTTAAAGTGTCAAAAAGAGCAGCTGAAATAGATTTAACTGACGAAATTAATGACAGTTTAAAGCCAAGTAAAAGGCATTGTGGAGAAGTGACTCCAGTGAAACAAGCCACTGTTAAGGATTCTGCCATGAATAGTGACAGAAAGAAGTTAGCAGATCTGACTCCGAGAAGACGCTCCATGAGACTGACTCCTATCAAATCGACATCACTGCAAAGTAACATCACCCAACTTGAGACCCTGCAAGAAAACACATTGAGCACATTTAATCAGGGTGCCATCACTCCTAGAAAGCAGTCTGTAAGATGTTCTGTACGTGAAACACCCGACAAGTCTGGCCATCGCTCGGTATCAAAGAAGACAGCAACCCCAAGTAAACATTGAAATTTGCCAGTTGGTATAAGGACATCTCTCCAAAGCTGTTAAAAGTTACCTTCCTTTCAGGATTACTTAATTACAATATTTTGGTTTCCAGTTAAACACGTCACAGTTGTTTTCCATTAATGATCTATCTATTGTGATTGTATGAAACTCTTAATGAGGCATGTATTGCTAACTTGATAGTATTTTCTTAATGACTTTAGCCTTACTTGTTTAGTCTCACAAGTTACATTGTTGTGGAAATCAGAACTTAATTTCTAATTAAAGTCTGCGTTGCCCACCAGCACATATTGCCTATGCTATGGTAACTTTACTTAACGCAAATGGAGTGAAATAGAGACACTTACTGATTGTAAAATGACAGAAAAAAAAATCAGACTAGGTCTTATTATTTTCCCTTACATTACAATCTATTCTTAAAAATCAAGAACTTGCTGAAATGTTGTCATCTGCCTGCAAGTTTTTGCTCCATTTTCTTGTCACACATTTTGTTTGTTCTGACTTATATATTTATGGTGTAATTTTTGTGGTCTACAAATCATAGCAAATCTGTTTACATAAGTTATAATGTGACTTTACCTCAAGTCTCTAGCACTTGAGTCTAAAGGATTTTACTGCCTATTAACCTAAGTAAGATTATTTTACAGTTTATTTATTTTTCATAATCTCATTTACTGTGATCTGAATGTATGTCTTAGTTTTCCATGTCATGATTTGATTGCCTGGCTGATCTGGTGGCAGCTCTATGGTAAAGAAAAAACAATTTGAGTACTGTATATTGAAAATGTATATTGCTCTATTTCTCTTTGTTCTAATGTAATAATGTGGAGCTGTTGCCTGTGAAGCTTGTACGCATTTGTTTTGCTTCCACAGAATTCCTTTTATTATGTCAGTTGCAGCCTATTGACAGTTCAATGCACTGAGTCTATATTGGGATTGAAGCTTAGGAAAGAGGGAAGTTATTTTATTTCTTGTTGGTTTTTTGGGTTTTAATAAATAAAAGTCATCATGTTTAAAAAAAAGCAGTTTTATATAACCTTAGCATTTTCATGCTGCTCATAATTCAGACATTAAGTAACAAATGTTTATAAAAAATTTGAAAGGAAACAAGATATTACTTTTCTCTGATTCAAGCTACAAACAACTAACCATGAAATGCCTTCCTTTCACCATATTAAGCGTTGGTTTTCTTCAGCAACCCTGCTCTAATCATAGTTTTCCATTCTGTACAGCTTTTTGTTCCTTGCCTCAGGCTGGTACTTCTTTTGCAGTGTTGTTGCATCTTCCAGGAAAGACCACATTGCTGGAATATTAGTCCAGACCAAATGTTCATCTTTTGACCGATTTGCTTTTTCTGACCAGGCAGCAGGATCTAATTGTAGATACCTGAAAGGACAGTATATTATAGTCCGGGTTTTTAGATGAACTATAGGTAATCATCGTGCATCATATACCAACCCTACCTTGATATCAGTATCACATAGTCTTCCCAATATGCAGGGGCCATTTCAAAGATCCACATCAAGGGAAGTTGGGGTTGATCACAAGTTTGGTTCAGGATGTTAAGCATGGAAAGAATATTGTGGAAAGAGAAGAACTTGCTCCCAAAGGACTCCTTCTCGCCATCTACAATCCCAGAAGAATGAGAAAATGAAAAGAAATGTCTAGCTATGTTAATTGAGTACTTGCAGGATATGATGTACCTTCAGGTGAAGCTATCAGAATGTGGATTGGTCCAAGACTGGATAATTCTTCATACTCTTCATATTCATGAATTGATTTGATTGGATGTGTGCAATCTTGCAAAATAGGATCAAGTCTTTCCAATTCATTGCCATTGAAATTACACAAAAACAAAGTGTCTATATTTGCACCCAATTTCTTCAGAATGGAGAGAATTGCCAAAACTAAACAAAGAAGAGCAAACAGACAAGTTGAACAAGAATCCCGTCTTGAAAGTCCACAAAATTGGACACGGTGTAATCCAAATAAATAAAAGGAAATGTTAAATTTACCACTGTTACAAGATCCATCCAGACACAAGATTCGAAGAGATATTTCCTTCAGCTTTTTAATGTTTGTCATTCCCGAATGAAATGCCTCCCTCATCTTTGAAACAGAAACAAGTATCAATGTGCCATTGAATGGTAAATGGTATGAATGAAATCACCATATACTCACATTTTCCTTCCAAACAGCAGAGCGGGGTTCCAAGAGGCCATGCATTTCCGATGTGAATGGTGTGCACATGAAGCATGACCATGGGTCAGCTTCTCGAATACAGTCTATAACACCCAGTGTTGCCTTCAATATGATGCATTTAGAACAGAAAGCTCTGCAATTAACAACTTAAATCTTTTAATAGTGGTCTAAACAAATACCCTCAAAGTAATAGTTTCAATACTGCCTACCTGTAGCAGAAGGGCTGGCTGCACACCATCATCTCACCAGAGTTCATGCAAATGCTACAATGAAACTGAAAAAGAAAGAGAAGGAATTTTCTGCACAAACTGCAAAGAAACTCACATATAATAGAATTTGTCCATAAAATTTTATGTCCTTAACACTTACTGCAATCATGTCCAAGCCTATTGAGAAAGAATAATCAAGTAACTTTACCTGAAAATTTGAATATTAGATGTCATTTAAACTTGCTAATGGCTTCAATTGAAAATGCACAGTTCATGTAATATGACACCACACAACTTACCATACATGGACTACATATACTGCCATGAAAAAACGGATGTTCCCTGAGTTCATTTTCTTGAGAAAGACATGCCAAACAAATGTCATCCAAATTTACGGTTCCTTCTCGAACTGAGTAAATCATATCCTCTTCCTCGGCAGATATTACTATTTCAACTGTGGAGTCCTCAGGTTCATCTTCGTCATCCTCTTCTTCATTCTCTTCATATTTCCCCCTTAATATTTTCAATTTATTTTGGACATGTTGGGAGACTGTGTCTGCAATTGAAATTCTTGAATAAAAGGGATTCAATATATTCTTGCTGCCAGCAGAGCTAAGGGACACTCACCATTAATCTGTATATCACAACATTCTTTTGGAAGAGGGAACCCATTCTCAGCCCAGTCCAAAGCTCTTGTGACATCGTAGTCATCGGTATCCAAGAGCAGGGACTTTCTAATTTCCTACCAAAAGTCACCAATCTTACAGTATTGCTGTTACAAAAGTATAAAGCATGTAACTTGATGGTCTATGCAACACTTACTTTAATAGCTAGATAAACACCACTTCGAAAGCTTTTGCTCCCACGGGGTGTTATAAATCGACGAAAGCCTTTCTTAAAGTCCACTAAATTGGACATTGCAATCTATAAAACAAAGATCAAAGTTTCTAAAACAGCCATTGAATTCTCGTTACTCTGTACTTAACTTTTTTCTGTTTCCTGTCTTACCGATGATACTCTTTCATCTCCAAACCAATATACAAAATGACATGATTGTATCCCTCGTTGTGTGAATGCTAATTTACCGCAATCTTCTTTATTTACCACCATAGCTAAATAAGATGATGAAACCAGAATGCATGAATAATAATGTACAGAACTCTTGAAAAAGGGTAGATCTCTTTTGAGGATACCAGTTAGATTAGACATAAACTTTCACTTTCCAGGGAAGTCCCAATTATATTTCAATGACGACCTCAAAAAAGGCAATTTGTCAAAATACAGACCATATTTGGGTTTCACTTCAGACTTCCCTGTTTCTGTTCACACTTGGTGTAGGGTGTATAGGTGAGCTTAAGGTTGGTGGGTGGGTAGGATAAGGGAAGAACAACCAAATCCTCACCTGGCCACCAGCGGTAATTCTTGACTTTGGCCCAAACGATGTCCCCCTCTTGTGGGTCACTCAGTGGGATGATCGGTGAGGCGCTTCGCCGGCGACCTCTTCTCTTGATCCGTCCCTTGCTCTTCTCGGGGCTGCTGTCGCTGCTGTCAGGACTCTCGTTCTCATTGCTGCTGTCATCGGACCCTGAAACACACAATACTCATTCCTCCCGTCGCCACCTGGCGTGCTGTGGTCTCGAGTTCTTTTCACCTGTAGTATCGTCCTCCAGGTCCCAGCTTTCACCGCTCGAATTAAGATCCATTTTCAGCAGATGCTTACTCGAGCACTCTGAGGAGAAAACTGTGGTGTTTGAGCTTTCGAAGATGGGTCGCGCGTCGCGAATGTAGTCCCAAGAAAACACTCCAGCATTTCGAGGATCGGACATACTGTCTCTAAAATGACAAAGTTCTGTTGGACAGGAGTAACGAGATTAAAATTTTTTTTCTTTCCGGTGACTCTTATTAACTTTGAGGGTGCTTGCTCACATTTTTGAACAATCGAAGCTGGTGGGATTATATTTGTGCCGCGGATTGATGTGTTCAACACAGCTGATTGCCCCCACCCCTCTTTACTCGACCGGCTGCTGCCAGATCAAAACAAATACACCCACCGGATGCAGCTAGTTAAATTGTTTAGGATTTTCCCTGGTTTGCATTCCAATTTTATTTTATTACTTTATTGTTATTCGGAGCAACCAAGTATGTGAAATTATTCTTGTCAGAAACGATACTCTGCTATCGTCTGCTTTGTGGTTAGTGTATAGTTCTGTTATCAGTGAGATATCATCTGCACTTAGGACTATCTGTTGGCAAACAAATTTTATTCATCACTGATTTGGTTTCCCTAAAAACTGGGTATTGAAAGATGTTAGTCCCCCTATACTTGCTTTCATATATCGTGTGGTCTCTCACCACATACCAACATGTTCATGGCGGCATACTATACCCATATGAATCAGAAACCAGAGAAGTGAAACCTCTTGATGGTCTTTGGACATTTTGCACTACTCCAAAAGATCAATCACAAGATGTAGGCTTTTCAGAAAAGTGGTTTAACTTGGACCATCATGACAATAAAATGGTAAGTAGCTTCATTAAATTGACTGACGGTATGATTTGCCTTGTGTACAAAATAAAACGGTTTTCTTCTGCAAAGTCTGGAGAACACTGTCAGCTGATGCCAGTGCCAGCTAGCTACAATGACATTCCAACTGATTCTTCGGTGCGAGACTTCATTGGCTGGGCTTGGTACAGAAAACCACTTTTTGTGCCTAAAAGATGGTCTGAAGATAAATTGAAAATATTTGTTCGATTCGGAAGTGTTCACTATCATGCCATAGTGGTGAGTTTCAAATTCCAGTTCGGGAATCCGTCACAGAAAATATTGGCCAAACTTGACACCCCTTTTGGTTCTGGTTCTGCAGTGGATGAATGGACAGCAGGTGGGGGAACATGTGGGGGGCCACCTTCCCTTCCAATTGGACGTCACATCCGTCCTCAACTACGGCACTGCAAACACCTTGACTGTTGCTGTCAACAACACTCTCACAAACGTCACTCTGCCTCAAATGCAAATACACCATCCCAATGACACGTCCAGGTAATTTTTATTACAATGTTTTCTTAGCCCTATAAATTTCTGTAGGAAAGGATTTATTTTGAATAGTGTTATCTCATTTAACATTATTTTCTCAGGTACCCTCCAGGATATGTAACATATTCACAGAAGTTTGATTTCTTCAACTATGCTGGAATACATCGTCCTGTTTATCTTGTTGCCCTGCCTTCAGTTCACATTGATGACATCACCTTGACAACAACCGTGAATTTTGAATCAAATGGTAAGTTCTCTTTTATTCATGAAAGAAAACCTAGTGTACTTAGCAATTTTTGAATCTGTATCAGAGTCAATTATTACCTTATGAGTATTGTTCCAGGTCTGGATAGAGTAACTGTAGGAACTGTACAGTTTTCTGTTGAACACACATTTCAAGGCTCTGAAGAGGATGTGAGTTGTGATGTTTCTATATCAACTCAAGGAGGAAGTATAATCCATCATGACATTACTTCATGTTCATCAGAAATTTCAATCAGACAAGCTAAACTCTGGTGGCCTAGATTTTCGCATGCTAAACCCGGATATCTGTACACTTTTGAGGTAAAATATGCCTTATTGTTAGATTAAGAAGTAAAATATGATTGTACAAATTCATAAATTTTTACCATTTGCTTTTTTAGGTTTCTTTGATAGTTCAAGGCATTCCTGTGGATGTGTATAGACTTCCTTTTGGAATTCGCACTGTTTCTTGGAACAAGTCAAGTCTTATGATAAATAGTAAGCCTGTTTACCTGAGGGGCTTTGGTATGCACGAAGACTCAAATGTATGTTTCTGTACTTGGAATTATATTATTGCCTTTAATCTAAATTTAGTGCCTTTTGTTCTTATTTATAATTATTGCTCTCTTACTTTTAGCTAAGAGGAAAAGGCTTGGACTTGGTACACACTGTTCGAGATTTTGAATTGATCAACTGGTTAGGAGCTAATGCCCTTAGGACATCACACTATCCCTACTCTGAAGAAACAATGAATTTAGCTGACAAGTATGGTATACTTGTTATTGCTGAGAGTCCTGCATGTACTATTGAGTAAGTTTTGTTCAAAATCTTCCTTATTTCAAAAGACTCTTTAGTGGAAGTCCAATGACAACATGGAGAATTTTATTGTCTGACAAACAAATTTTTTCAGCTCATTTGGAGAAGAGATACTTTCACACCACAAAACAGTTTTGAATGAACTTATTTCTCGGGACAAAAATCATCCCAGCATAATTGCTTGGTCTATCGCAAATGAGCCATACTCTGATCTTCCACAAGCAGACCATTATTTTGGGTGAATATTAAGTTAAATATCTAGTTACAGAGGGTTCTGCAGGGAAATTATGAGTAGATGTGTTATTTCTGTCTAGAACGTTGGCTGATTTGATTCGTTCTCAAGATCCTACAAGAGCTGTCACTTTTGTCAGCAGTCGGAGTTGGAACAATGACAAAGCTGTTAGTGTTTTTGGTAAATGTCTCTAAAGCATTGAAGACTAGATTTTTAAAAATTTGGTCTTTCTTTAGGTGCAACACATGGATTTCATTTGTGTGAACCGTTATGCTGCCTGGTACTCAGACTCTGGCTTACTGTCTCTGATTGAAAGGCAAACGGTTGAAGAGCTGAAAGCGTGGCATGACAGGTGGCAAAGACCAATTGTAATGTCAGAATATGGAGCTGGTTCCTTGAGTGGCTTCCACAAGGTAAGATAGAATAAAATAGAGTTAGTGATGGTGAGCATGAGAAAAGGGTGATCTCTCTCTTGTATTCTGTTGCCCTTCAATTAAAAGAACATCCCTCAACAGTTGCCTGCTGTAATGTGGACTGAGGACTACCAAGTCCTAACACTTCATAAGCATTTCCCTGCATTCGACTACCTAAGACTGAATGGGTTGCTAGCTGGTGAAATGATTTGGAATTTTGCTGACTTTAACACCCCTCAAGGTAAGAGTTCATATTCCCATCATTCCTTCATCATATTTCTGAAATGATCAAATAAACTTTTGTCTTTTTGGTCCTTAGAATACATTCGTCCCGGTGGATGCATGAAGGGACTCATGACTCGGGAACGCCAGCCAAAAGCAGCAGCACACTTAGCAAGATGGCGGTATTGGAAGCTGGCTCAGAACACTAGTGGCTTTTCCATTCCAGAAGATTTGCTTTATTCATGAATTTAACTTTCATGTACCTATACCTCTTGAAATAAAATACTATAAATTTCTGAGATGTACTCTTTTTCACCAAATTAATGTATTTTGAGATTAAGGGTGTGTGGTACAGCCAGCACAATTGTTATAAGATACATCTAGCTTTCTTCCAGTGCTCTTCTTTTAAGGGGATGTTATAGAAAAAAAAAGTTAAAATGAAAAAAACTAACTTTTATTATTGAATATTTAACACAATCTGTGTAACTGAAATGGGCATAGCATATGAATATATAAAGTTGAAAGAAAAGAACATTGTAACTGAGTGAATTACCTCAGCACTGGTATTATTGAGAACAAACAAAAAAATTTGGAGTTACAGATCCAATTGATTCAGTTTTAGTGACCATACTTTTGGAACTCCCATTCTCTATTGTCCAGAGGGCAAACTTGTCTAGTCTTCAACCAACGAGAAATGCAGTGGAAGTGAAAAGCATGGTTACAAACTCCCCACGCAACAGTGCACTCATCACTTGTGGCAGACGCCTGGTTTGCCTGACATTCAATGCAAAGATCCATAATGTGATTGCGGCAAATAGCACAGTTGTCTACAACTATATCCCAAGCCCACAGGGCAACTGCATTCCACTTCTTTACTTCAAAGCGCTTCTTCTCTCCTTTGCTGCTGCTGGACGTGGGCAGTTCTAGCTCTTCTTCATCAACATCCATTGCTGAGGTAGCCATTCTGAAACGTAAACAAAATACAAGATATGGTAAGTCTATAGTACAGAAACAAATTTTATTTTATTCAAACATTGCTTTGAAAAGGGGAGGCGACAGGAAACAAAGATTTACAGAACCCGCTTCAAATTTTTTATGGACAAGACAGGCGCAATTTAATATTCTTTCATAAATAAAGTAAAGTAGCTCAGAGGCAACATTCTTGCAACACAATAACCCTACTAATGGCGTTGGTACTATTTGGCAAAATGCAAAGAACCAAAATAATGTAACCTATTGTTAGCTAAATTAAACTTAAATTGCGCAACCAAAGACGTTCACAAAACTTTCTACAAATTAATATTAACAGAGGAAAGCGAACAGATGCAGCGATGACAAAGGCAAAACAAAACGGCCCAAGGTAACGATCACAGTCTGTCTTTTACGGTGCAATCCATCATCACCAATATAAGAAAATATCGTGCGACTTCTTGAAGTTTCGTTGATTTTACCTTACTAGACGACGACCGCTGAAATTTCGAGGGATACTTCTCCAAACGTAAGCCGACCCGCAGGATCTGATCAATGGAAAATGGAAATGGCAATGGCCTGGAGAAAAGGAGAAGGAGAAGGAAGAGCGGTTAGTTGAGACGGCGTCCACAAGGGGCGCTACACTCGCGACGCTCTTGTTTTCTTGATCTCTTGATCTTGTCTTGTGTCACAAAATGAGTCACGAGCCACACCGGGTCACGTCACAACAGTGATCACAACCACAATTTAGTGTTAAAGACCAAAACTTTCAAGAAAAAAAGCGTCTTCGTGTACTTTTTTTTTCATTCATTTCATTGATAGAAGGCGGTGCACCTAGTAAACAAACGACAACTTCAACTTCATGTACGTCACAACAATTTAGCAAAGTTCAGTTTCAGGGAAACAGCTTCAGATTTTCGTAAGTATATGTGATTGACAACCTCAGATTAGATGGAGATTGATCGTTATACAGTCATTGTTCATCCTATCATTCCCGCACTCATTGCCATTGAAGACGGTGTCGACCGTAACCCTATGTAACGTTCCCTAGTACGTCTGCAATAACATATGTCATTGTCAGGCATTCGTCATCAGCACCTGTTGAAGACGTGTTTCTTTTTAACTTCATATAAATTAATTAACTCGACGCGAGATTGGCCCCTCTCTTGTGATATGCCACCATATAATTTGTATTAGAAAATAGAACCACACATCTCTTACCGAGACACCTGTCTTGTGGTTTCAGAATGATCAAACCGTGAACGATTCTCAGAAACATTCATGCAGAGGGATACATCCAAAATGAGAAGAGCACATGCAGGTACGATTGAATTTCGGTTCATTTTTGTAACTTGTTTGCGCAAATCTTGACCTAAGTATTTTTGTACTTATTCCCCTTGAATCCATTTATCAGGAAATTTATACGAGCCCCTGCCCACACAATATGAGGCAGGGAACAATATTGAGGAGGAGAATGAGAAGATGACAGACCAGTTAAAAGACAAAATACATGTGTTGAAGTCGGTGAGTAATTTACAATAGTATCTTACCCAACTGGTATTTCTGTTTTTGTTTTCCAATTTCCTTTTTTCCTTTCAGCTTTCAATTGATATTGGTGCAGAAGTAAGATATCAAGATAAACTTCTCAGGGATATGGTAAGTTATTTTTGCTAATAGACTGGCTACATATAAACATTCTTTGTCATTTTCTTATCTTTTGTTACTTTTTGTCCAGGATGAAGATTTTGAGAAAACTGGAGGCTTTCTTGGCAACACAATGAATCGTGTTCTCCGGTTAGCAAAGGGTGGCCACAACTATTATATATTCTACATTTTCTTATTTTCAATCCTTGTGTTTTTCATTCTGTGGATCACATTAAAACTACGCTGAAATATTGTGGGTGCCAATTTGAAAAGTTCTGTGTGACTGATTTGGGTTACTTGCTGAGAGTTTGTGGCTCTTGAGATGTATATCTAATATCTGATCATACACTTTTGCTCTTTCTTTGTATGTGCTAAACCGGCCACACACTGATTTTCTTGTTTGATACATCTGTGATAGTGAAGAGTTGTTAAAGCCACCTTTCTATGATCTTTGTAAGTTCAATTTCCAGTCTACTTGTTTTGTGTTTATAGGTGATAGGGTTTGAATGTGTAAATACAGTCTTTCTTTGTTATGAGGTTCTTCCTCTTTCTATCACATCTATGTATAGACTTTTTCCTGATCTGTCAGTGTACAGTAGTTGAGTAACTGATCTGGTCTTTCTAGTTATACTGGATATTTTATATTTCAACTGTCAGCCCAAACTGTGTTTTTTTGAAAGGACCCTACAAATGTACCAATTTTATGATTCTTTTTATTTATTTATTTGCATTAAGAAGATTATGACTTATCAAAAAGTTGTAAATTTGAGATGATTTGAACATGGTCAGTTCACCGAGTTAAATGGCACATTAGAAAATCAGTGCCCCTCATGTGCTCTATAATAATCAGTATTTTACAACAGCTGCAGCACTAAATGTGAAGTAGGAAAGGCAAATTATTATTTTCTCTGTGGAAGGCAACGTTATAATAAATAAAATTTTATTCCAGCTCTTGTTATGTCATAAATTAATGATAAAAAAAAATAAACTTCCTATCTAAACTATTAAACTGAAGTGACAATTCTATTGAGGTATACTTGATAGGCCTTTCACATTTTCTGTTTAGAAATATTTTGCAAAGCTGCCTCTGTTGAAGACCCTAAAATTGACGAATGGTTCAGAAGTACGCGTCGTCCGGCCTGCGGTACGCGCGCGTGTCCTTGCCAGCGTAGAGGGAGTTGGCTCTGTTGACCGCCTCGGGGAGGGATGAGGACGAGACGGCCCTGGAGCCCGCCGTCGGTGCGGGGGCGGAGGCCTTCTGCATCTCCTTGGCCAGGTCGCGACTCAGCACCCGAACCTGGAGCAGGCGGAGGGTGAGTGACGGCCGGGGCGGTGGGGTTCAGCGTGTGTCCGGAAACATGAGCCCGCAGCGTACTCACCACGTAGGTGCCTGTGAGGGCGCCCAGCAGCAGGCCGACGACGATGTCGCTCCAGTGGTTGTACCTGGAGTCGTACACCTGCGAGGCGACCAGCAGCGCGGGGACGGCGCACACGAAGACCACCGCGGTTCTCAGGGCGTACATGCCGCCCGCGCGGACGCGGCGCAGCACGCGCTCGGCGTGCACGGCCACCAGCACGCCGGAGAACGCCAGCATGGTGCAGCGGTGGCTGGGGAAGGACAGGCGCGCGTAGCGTTCCTGCGCGAAGCACGAGGCGATGGGGGGCGTCAGTACGGCCGGGGCGGCAGGGCATCGCCCTCCTCAGGGTGTACCTACACTCTTGCCGATGTCGCGGTCCTCGAAGGTGCCGGCGTTGCAGTAGCGCGCGTAGCCGAAGCCGTAGGCGTCGTCCGACAGGAAGAAGGGGCGTGGCCGCGACACTAGCAGGCGCAGCAGGTCCGCGGCGGCGGAGGTGAGGCACAGCCCCAGCAGGAACACCACTGCACAAGCACGCCGAACCTCGAATTGCATTGGCCGCCCAACTTCACTCGGCGTCCTCGGGGAAGTCCCTACTCACGTGTCAGCTTGGCAAGCCGTTTGAAGAAGGCCGGCGTCCAGGCGCTTTTGGTGCGGTCCTTCCGAACGGTGAAGGCCAGCACGACTTCGAGCAGGCTGAGCTGGAAACGCCAGCAAACGAGTTGACTCCATGACTGCTGCATCTTGGCGCGCGCCAGGACCAGAGCCGAGCCGCGGGACTCACCAGGACGACGGGGGCGAGGATGACGAGGAGGTAGATGGCGTAGTTGGGCAGCTCGATTGTCGGGTTCCTCCGTGGGGTCCGGTACGCCGTGTCGAGGCAGAGGCCCCCGAGCCCTTGCAGCTGGGGGCGGATCAGGTACAGCTCGCCGAACCTGGACCACAACCGCTTGAAAACGAGCAACGAACCGAGGGGCGCGGTCGAGGTGGACGACGGCCTACCTGAGCTCGGCGGCGACGGCTGCCAGCAGCAGCAGCCCCACCAGGTCCAGGAGGTGCGCCATGACGAGCCCCGCGCTGCGGCGGCGGGGCGGCAGCGGGGTGGTGGCGCCGGGCGCCGCGACGGGCACCGAGACGTGCTCGTGGAGGGGCGCGGGGTGCGGCTGCAGCACCGTGTCGCGCCACGAGCTCCTCTGCACCGTGGGCATGGTGGACGAGGGCCCGAGTTCCCTCCGCATGCTGAGGCCGTGCAGAGCTTGACTAATCGAGCCTTGCCTTCCCGGCTGGCGCTAACGCCCTGGCGGTGTCTGCCCGCGAATCGTGAATCCTGTTCCCGGGATTGTGTTCGCGTTGTCTCTGGTCATGCGTACCACCCGATCAGCAGCTATCAGTGCTGCACAGCCGATTCACTCTGCCCGCTATCTCACACATGTTGGAGCAGATAACGCGCTCGACGCCCTCCCTCAGCCCTTTCGCAATTGGCTGCCCTGCCGACCCGCCCGGACCCGCCTCACCACCTTCACCCCACGCCGTCTAGGCCGTCTAGGCACGCGCCTAGAGCCAAGGGCGCCGCGGCCGCGGGGCCCCTTTCTTTTTCAGTGTCCGCTCCGCTCGAGTCGTGGCGACGACGCCGACGGGCTCTAGTGGCGCGCGCCTCCACACCTGACGCCTCCACGACTCACGACCCTCGGCCGGGTCGTGGCGACGGCGACTGGGTGACTCATCGTCATCAACGCGCTGTTAGGCCACAGGGGGCAATCAATGACAAGACCTTTCACACGCACCGGTGTTTATTGCCACGGGTAACAGGATGTTTAACAAGTCGTATCACAGCAACAGGATGCAAATTCACGCGGTGAAACGCACCAAGACGAACACATAATTATAAAATTACAAAATATATACTCTCTGAGCTGAACCACAATAACATTAACAATAACAATGGTAATAATACATAGCTAAACAGTCGATAGAGGATCTCATTCCCGGGGGAAGTCCAGCGATAGAGCGATCTTCGGCGTCCTCAGCCGCCACTGAGGGGCGGGATGACGGCCACCTCGTCGCCGTCGCGCAGCCGGAGGGCGTCGCCCGCCGCCACGAAGTCCTGGTTGAGCGCCAGGATGAAGGTGCCGGCCATGGCGTGCAGCGAGAAGGCCTCGGTGACGCGCTGCAGCAGCGCGGCCTCGTCCGTGTCGGCGGGCAGCCCCGTCAGCACGCCCTCCGCGGTGCCGGCCAGCTCGCGCGCGCCCGCGAACAGCAGCACGCGGACGCTCACTCCGGCAGGGGGGTCTTGGCCTCCTTGGCCGCCCACCTCCCCTCGCTGCGGCGGCGCCCTGCAACGCAGAGACGGACTGTTATTTTTGGCGGGAAATTCTTCCGGACTGCGCGCGCGGCTGGGCCCGCTACTTCGGAATGCACGCGCACGTCGGCGATGACGAGTGCCGACGCGATAAGCTTCGTGCTTCGCGCCCACTTGCGTCTGTTTTCCGTTTCAGCTGACGCAGGTGCAAAAGTCCCTCCCCTCGCACGCTCGCAGCGATAGCGACGGGGACGGGCAGAGCCCTACTTTACCCCTTCGGAGAATCCTAAAGGGGGTGCAGGCCTCTAGCGACGGGCCGCCTGCCGGGTAGGCAACCACCTGTGCACCGCGCACGGACGTCGGTTGGGTTGCCTACGCGCCGGGCGCCCGGCATAGGCCGGCACTGACAGGACGGCAACGACCGAATGAACAGGTCCTCGACCGTGAGCTCGGCTATCTTGGCCAATCTTAGCGCATAGGCCGGCTTCAGAAAACAGATAGGCTCGCGCGATCAAAACATCCGAAGAGCTTATCTGACTTTTGATCCCGCGGCAGCAATCGGCAGGTAGGGCGTTGCAAAGTTTTGGAAATGAAGCGACTGGTGCAGGTTAGCCGGGTCCAGTCCGCAGTGGTCATCCAGATCACCAGAGGTCACCTTCTGACACTCGATTCTTACGATAAATCACTCGGGGAAGTCCGATTCACCAAACTCACATTGATGGAGATCCCAGCGCTCCTCGTTCGCTCGGAATAGACGTCCGATCCTACAGGATCTTTGTCATGGGAGTGGTGTCAGGCGCTATCTTCTTACGTAACGGGTTAACAAGCGCCTGTTCCCGTTCCCTTTCGTCTGCTAGCAGACAACATGCTTAACGAACCAAAACAACACTATTCGCAGTCCAAGACAAACGAAGATCGTCGAGGTGATGCGGTATTCGCAGTCGGCCCAAACACGAGCACGAGAGTGAGAGGGTAGCGGCTGCACCCCGGTCACCGGACTTTCACCCCTTTCGTCTCAATTTCTGGTTGGTTCATCACATTCAGGTTCTAATTTTTACGTTGAGCGTTCCTTCATTCTGCCTTGTACTGGGGACTACCGTCAGTTTCGGTTGTCGAGAGTACAGTCCCCCGAGAGAGTCTGTTGGAAGCTGTTGGTCCCGCTCCACTGGTACGCGAAGAATTCCCACTGTACCCCTACTACAGCCCTGTCTGCGTTCTTGTAACCTTTGACTCCATCTCGTGGAACACACAAACAGCCGTGCCGTGTTGCTCAACCTTTTCTTTCACTTTGACTGGGAAATTGTATTGCTTTCCCTGGCTTCTAAGACTTGGTGCCCTTTGTATTTTTTTCCCAAGGCCCGAATAGACTGGGTATGATTACCAGTTTTTGTTGTTTTTGTATCATAATATCTCTATTATTTCGTGAAGGTAGCAGAAGGAGTCTTGTCAGTCATAATCGGCCTTCTCCTTATCTTTTCTTATGTCGTGTGAGGAGTGTGTCTGTCTCGTTCTGTGGCGAAAAGTACAAATTTTTTTGTGTTTATTTGTTTAGATTTCAACCATGGCTGGACTATTGAAATCGGCTTTCCATCTGTCACAGTCAGCCCAGTGCTTGACTGGGATAAAAAAGGTTTGTGTTTTTTTTCAAACAAATTATCGAATTCCTGGGATAGTTGTGTATAATATTTATTGATTTACATTTTAGATGAACGCCATGCAAGTTCGTTTCCTGAATTTGTTGGAATATCAAAGTAAAGTCTTAATGCAGAATCATGGAGTTAATATTCAGAAATTCAAGATGGTGAGGAATGCTGATGATGCTAAAAATCTAGCAAAAGAACTTGGTGGGTTGATTTTCCTTACTTTTGGCTTGACTGTATCTTTTTCTGCTTTTGTTGATAGCTTCTTAATAGTTCTTATTAATTTTTGCCAGTTGCTGAAGAGTACGTAGTCAAAGCACAAATCCTTGCTGGTGGTCGAGGAAAAGGCACTTTTGACAATGGGTTCAAAGGAGGAGTTCAAATTACTAAAGAGTATGTTTTCAATTATTAGTACTGTTTTCCACTTTTATTTAGCCTTCTGTTTGACTTCTTTTAAATTTTTGATTGCATTTACAGTCCCTCCAAGATTTGGCCTCTTGCTGAGAAAATGGTTGGACATAAACTGGTTACTAAACAGACTCCTCCTGGTGGTATTCTGGTGAATTCTGTAATGGTTGCAGAGTCTATTGTCATCAAACGTGAAACCTATTTCTGCATCTTGATGGACAGGTACGTAACACCTCATCACCTTCTATGGAACTCGTTTGTCTTTCTGTATTTAAATTTGGCTGTTTTACTGTTTGTAGAGCTCACAATGGCCCAGTCTTGATTGCTTCTCCTGCTGGTGGTATGGACATAGAGGAGGTAGCTGTCAGCAGTCCACAGTTGGTGAAAACTATTCCTATTGACGTAATTCAGGGCGTCACTGATGAAATGGCAATGACTGTTGCTGAGTTTCTTGAATTCAATGGCAGCTCAAGAAAGAAAGTATGAATTGTGTTCTTTTCTAGCCAACCAATCAACTTTTATTTTACCTGTAAATAATCAATTTGTTTCTCTCAGTGTGCAGATCAAGTAAAGGCTTTGTGGAGCCTGTTTACTGGTGTTGATGCGGTTCAGCTGGAAATCAACCCATTGGCTGAAACAGATACGGGTGACGTCGTTTCAGTTGATGCTAAGATTCAGTTTGATGACAATGCTCAATTCAGACAGAAAGAAATCTTTGCTATTGAGGACACCTCTGAATCTGACCCAAGAGAAGTGGAGGCTGCTAAATATAATTTGAATTATATTGGCATGTCAGGAAATATTGGATGCTTAGGTGAGCTGAGTTGAAACTAAAGCATACATCCAGAACCAAGATAGTTTCTGTCATTTGTAAATTTGATTTTCAGTAAATGGAGCAGGGCTAGCCATGGCCACCATGGACCTCATCCACTTACATGGGGGCTCACCTGCCAACTTCTTGGATGTTGGTGGTGGTGTGAATGAAACCCAGGTGAAGCAAGCTTTTGACATTCTCTCCTCAGGTAAGTGTTTTACTTCTTGTGGTATGCCTGAATTCTGTTATCTATTTGAAAGGACAAAGTTTTGGTTACTATTAATAATCAATCTTTCAGATCCCAATGTAAAGGCTATTCTTGTGAACGTGTTTGGAGGCATTGTTAACTGTGCGACCATTGCCACTGGTGTGGTCAATGCGACAAGGGCCTCTGGCCTGAAGCTACCTCTAGTTGTCCGTTTGGAAGGTAATTGTGCTGATTTATTTAACTGTCCCTTTATTTATATTTTAGAAATCATTTCAAATCCCAAATATTTGCAGGTACAAATGTTGATGCAGCAAAGAAAATCCTGCAGGACTCTGGCTTACCTATCGTCCAGGCCAAAGATTTGGATTCTGCCGCAATGGCTGCTGTTGATCAAGCTTCCCTTAAAGCCAAAGCTCAAGCTTGTTAAAATGATATTATGATATGTTCCTGCAGTTTTGCGAAATTAACATTGTACATCTCATTTACACGTGAATTCCATCATCAGGTACATTTCACATTGTAATATTTCTTCACACAAGTGTCTCCTTACCATACTTTGTCATCCTGTGCACTGAACTAAGCTCAAATTTGATATTGGTGCCTCAGTAAGCTTTACCATTGCAACATTACTAATATCCTGCATCAATACAGATTCAAAGACTGAAATAATGGGAAAATACCAATATCTGCCATCTTGTTAGTGTTGCTGGAGACATTGGATGTTGTAAGTCCAGAATGTGATTATTTGAAATGTAAGATTTTGATTTAAATGCTTGTAAAAATCCTGTGAAGTCTCTAGATGTTGCTGTAAATACTTTGTTTTTGTTGACTATTTTTTCAATTTTTTCAAAGATTGTACCCTGTTAGTTCATCATCTATCTTCTGTGTCCATTTTTCTGTAAATGTAGTCATCAGTCATTCTGGACAAGCACTATCAAAAAATTTAAGATAAGTTTTTGTTTGTAATCTTGCGTATTAGGGAAGTGACTATCAAAATGAGGCTGTAAATTGTTATGCCTCGTAAGGCACTGTATTTTAATAATATTTTTATCATTATTGATTTTATTCTGTTCAGCATTTTTAAGCGACTAGGTGCTAAATACATTCCCAAATAAAAGTAGGGCATTTGCATAGTTTGATAAATATTTAGATACCTCACACATTCAAGCTATTACACCCTCTTGTGAGTGTGTTTAGTACCTTCTGTTTGCTGTCAAGACTGTATCCACTTGTAACACTACTCCAATCAGATCCTCAAAGATCTTGCCTAGCATATGAGTAGTCATGTTAGAGTTTAAAATTAAATTGATAAATCTAGAAAGGCTGTGCCAATGTGTTCCCATGTTGGGTTTTAATAGAAGTATGGCTGTAACGGTTGTGGCATGAGGTGAGGTAAAATAAATAAAATCAAATACAAAAAAAAATCTTCTAAAATTTTTTCTACCCCTGAGTGTCTATGAAGGTTCAAGCAAACCGCGGAATGAATTTCAATTACTGATCACAACAATTTTCCTAGGATACCGAACCGCACTTGTGCCGGGAGAGGGGAAGGGAGTCGGGGCGAGGCGAGGGGGTCTTGGCCCGGAAGTCGCCTGTTACTGCCCGCTGCAAGCCATTCGTTCCCATTGGCGGGTCCAGTGGCCGGGGAAGGGGGGAGGGGGGGCTGGCAGGTTGGCGGTGCCAAAAGTAATAAACTTGATACACTTAGGCAGCAGATCTGATAAATTTGCCCGACTTTCATTGGAATAATGGGGAGGCCTGTTCAGCACCACTGCGGCCTCGGATTACTAGGTCCCTTGTGTGTATGTCGAATGTATTGAGCGAGCTAGCCTTGCCAGTGGCAGCGTCTGAAAGAGGAAAGCCAAAGCCCCTCCTATCGGCACCTGTCTGTCCATATCTATTCGAGTCCACCGGCGGCCAAAGTAGTCGCTGTCCCGGTGCAGCGTCCCGGCATGGCCCCGGCATGGCCCCGCAGCCCCGCCCCGCGAACCGACCCCCCGGGGGGGCAGGGAAGGACACGGCTTCAAGTGGGAGACAATGAAGGGGGCGGCGACGCGGCGACCAGGTCCACGCAGAGTCGGCCGGCAGGACGGACAGGACGATGCGAACCTGGAGAGGGGAACCAGGATAGGCTGGGCAGGCTGGGCCGGTCCCCGTCCAGCACAGCCTCCCGTGCTGGCGGGGTCGCTGCACGTGGCCGTGGTGCTGTACACTGCCGACACCGTCCTCGTCCCGGTGGAGCCCGAGTAGAGCGACATGGCCGCCCAGCGCGCCGACGTCCAGCTCGCGCCGCTGGACGGCAAGAAGGCCGCCACGCCGGCGGAGACGAGCCATGGGCAGGGCGCGGAGTACGACCGCGAGAAGTGGAACAAGCCCATCGAGTTCGTGCTGTCCGTCATCGGCTTCGCCGTGGGGCTCGGCAACATTTGGCGGTTCCCCTACCTCTGCTACAAGAACGGCGGGGGTGAGTCAGAAGCTGGCGTTTGCTGGAGTGCCGACGAGTTCGAGTGCACACGAGTCGGTTGTGCTGCCTCCCAGTGCCTGGGGGTGGGTCCCGCCCCGCGTGCCCAGAGCCCTAAGGCGCTGGTAGGCAACCCAACCGACAGCGCTGCCTTGCTATTGCTGCCTTGACAGGCGCCTTCCTCATCCCTTACTTCTGCTGCCTCATCGCCGGCGGCGTGCCCATCTTCTTCCTGGAGGTCGGCATCGGCCAGATGACCAGCCAGGGCGGCATCACCGTCTGGGACATCTGCCCCGTGTTCAAGGGTACAGTCCAGTGGTACAGTGCGGACTGGAGCACCGCGTCGGCCCGCACCTCACCGCCCTCTGTTGCGCAGGCATCGGCTACGGAACCACCATCATCTGCTTCCTGCTCAACGTGTACTACATCGTGATCCTGGCCTGGGCCGCGCACTTCTTCTACTACTCGTTCTCGGCGACGCTGCCCTGGGCGTCGTGCTCCAACGCGTGGAACACGGCGCGCTGCTTCACCGTGGCGAACCGCACGGCGCCGGGCCGCGTGGACGCCGTGGTCGAGTACTGGGAGTGAGCGGCGACGTCCTCCTTTCTTTGGCTGCCGTCCGTCGGGTCGCCTGCTGCTGGTTTTGAGCACGGCGATGACGCGTGTTGCAGGCGCAAGGTGCTGGGCCTGAGCTCGGGCATTGACGACCCCGGCGGCCTCCAGTGGGAACTCGCCATCTCGCTGTTCGTCGTGTGGCTGCTGGTCTACTTCTGCGTGTGGAAGGGCATCAAGTCCTCCGGCAAAGTCGTCTACTTCACCGGTGAGACGAGAGACGAGCCTTCCTGTAGAAAGCCCTGTTTAAAATTGGCCCCGCTGCTTTGTGGACGGTCCCCAGCGAATTTCGAACGGCTTGCGTGCGCGCGTCCCTTTTTTGTTCGGCCCGACAAACATCCTCGGGAGAAAAACCCTGTGACACTCCTCTGTGAATTCGGCTCTTGAGGCGCGGCACGCGGGAAACACGAAGGACACTGTGAAAATAAAAGAGGTTGCTTGCGTTGCAGCCACCTTCCCCTACGTGATGCTGACCGTGCTGCTGATCCGCGGCGTGACGCTGGAGGGCGCCCTGGACGGCATCATCTTCTACCTCAAGCCGGACTTCAGCAAGCTGCTCGAGGCGCAGGTGGGTCGCCGTCGCCGTCGCGCCGAGCCTTGGCGGCCCGCCAGACTCCTTACACCACGTGTGATCCAGGTCTGGATTGACGCAGGGACGCAAATCTTCTTCTCGTACGCCATCGCGCTGGGCTGCATGACGGCCCTGGGCTCGTACAACCACTACAACAACAACTTCGTGCGGGACTGCATCTTCATCTCGGCCACCAACAGCCTGACCAGCCTGTACTCGGGCTTCGCCATCTTCAGCGTGCTGGGCTTCATGGCGCAGGAGTCGGGCGTGCCCATCGCGCAGGTGGCCGAGTCCGGCCCCGGCCTCGTGTTCATCGCCTACCCGAAGGTGCCTGTCACCTGTCATCCATCTTTCAAACAAATTTAATCTGGCTGGTATAAAGTACTTGAATTGTTTCCCTCGGGCCAGCCTTACCCCTTGATTGTCCCCCTCAGGCGGTTACGCAGATGCCGATGGCGCCGCTGTGGTCCGCCCTCTTCTTCTTCATGATCATCCTGATGGGGCTGGACTCGCAGTTCGTGGGCGTGGAGGGCTTCATCACGGCGCTCGTCGACCTGTTCCCCGGGACGCTGCGGCGCGGCCACCGCCGGGAGGTCTTCATCGCCATCGTCAGCGCCGTCAGCTTCCTCATCGGCCTCTTCATGGTGACCAGGGTGCGTCGCGACGGTCGTGGCTTCGAGTCCCGGCCGAGCCGCCGCCGTTTTGCCGCCCGTCGGGTCCAGGGCGGGCCAGCCCGCCGAACACGCGTGCCGTGCGGGCTTGCCTAGCTGGACTTCGCAGGCGCTCTCCGCTCCGTCCAGCTGACTCTGTTCTCTGCCCAGGGTGGAATGTACCTGTTCCAAGTGTTCGACTACTTTGCCGCCAGCGGGATGGTTCTGCTGTGGTTCTGCTTCTTCGAGTGCATCGCCGTTGCCTATGGCTACGGCGCAGAGCGCTTCTACCAAGACATCACCGACATGATTGGCTACGCATCAGTCCGTGGTTGAAGGCTTGCTGGCTCGTGCTCACCCCCATCGTCACCATGGTACGTGATACTACGCGCTGTTGCAACCCCCACCCCACCGCCCCGAACCCCGAGCTCATCGTGTCGGTGGCGTGCCGGCCGTTGCCTGTTCCAGGGCATCCTGGTGTTCTCAGTCATCTCCGCGCCGCCTCTGACCTACAACCGGACCTACCACTACCCCGCCTGGGCCCTCGTCTTGGGCTGGTCCATGGCCCTCGTGTCCATGGTCACAATACCAATTTACTTCTTTTTCTACTTGTTCTCAAGACCTGGGAAAACTTTAAAAGAGGCAGGTTTTTCTGTTGTGAGCGCCGCTTGTAAATTGAGTTGTTGATTTTGTTTTACTCAAATCGCCTTTGGTTGCAGAAATGGAAAGAGGCACTCACTTCAAAGACGGAGCAGCAGGTGGCATAGAAGTGTCTCTTAACAGGTACATTAAAATACATTCAGTAGGAAGAGGGGTAAGGAAAGTGTTTCAAAGATAAACAAATATAAAACTTTATTTTCCATAGGTACATTGTAAAAAATAAAAACGCAGTATCCACAACACTGAATCCACCTCAAGATAACTAGTCATAATTCACAGAAGTTACAACATGAACCAGTGAAACTTCAATCTAACATATATCACATCAGTACAAGAGGTACACAAGAGTCAAATCAGCTATTTCTGCAATTAGGCAACAAATGGCATGGAAGGTAGATCAGGGGCACAGACTTGGTGCACCAAAAGTACGTCCTGGTAACTTTTTTTAATAATTTGTAAAAAAAATTACTAATACTGGTTTTAAAACAATGTTTTAAAGCTAAATATGATGGTCTAACCCAAATACACCACAGTAGAAAAATAGTACGTAGTAAAGTTCTTTAAATGCAGAAAATAGAGGAATGAGGCAAAATTTAAAAACAATAAAAGTTGCAGTAGTACCCGATATAAAATAGATAATAGTACATTCCTTGTTCATTCTTACATCATCACACATTTGATTTGAAGAACCCCATCCCATCCCCAAAACTGAGTATGAAAGTTTCATGCAACAGTCAAAAACAAGGGCAGCTTGAGCAATAACTCCACAAAGTGCAAGAATAAGTCACTTCCAGATTGAAGGCAAAACTGCAAAGAGGGCAATGCTTTACAACTTTGACCTAAACTCCTCAATCCTGGAGGCTGCCTTCTTCTGAAGTTCAGTCAATTTCATGGCCAGTCCCATGTTTCCTTGAATTTTAATTTTCCCTTGGAAGAAGGCCTTTTGGGGATTCAGCTTGCCACTGATCAGTTCAGGTACATCTTTGTCATCCATGATGAAAGTAACCTCTGGCTTGGCTGCAAAACAAAGAAATTGGGGAAATTTACCAAAGCACATATAAAAAAATTTAGAAAAATTCTGCCCGTGAGATATCTATAGTTACCTTTGCCGTTGTATTCAACACTTCCCTTTCCTGTTTTGGCATTGATGACCCAAAAGCCTTCAGCGCCGCCAGGACCATTCTTGACTTTGAAAGCATAAATACCACGGAACTTCTCAATCAGGTTGTCTTTATCATCTGCCATGGCCATTTCAAGGGCTTTGAAAAGAATGGAAGCCTTAAAGTCATCAGGGTTGGTGGCAGCAGAAACTGCATTAAGCCCAACAGCAGACCTGGAATAAATAGTAACGAGATTAGATCTGCCGTTTTGGAACAGTGAGTGGTAAGATAAGAAATCAGTGCCTAGATTTATTCTTACCTGGCGTAGTGAGGGAAACCCAGCCTGTACAAGCCCACAATGACTGCTCCTCCCAAACCAATGTTATGCTGCAGAGCCAACTTAGCGTTAGGCACCTGACGTTTCTCAGCAAGACCTCGTAGCTGCCAGCACAATTCAGAACACTGAGCAATACCTGTAAAATGTGTGAATTAGTCTCAATTGTCTTACTTAACTGAATTGAAGTAAAAGTCTTATTCACACACCTGTAGCACCCAGAGGATGGCCCTTGGAGATGAGACCGCCACTTGGGTTCACAACAAACTTGCCCCCATAAGTGTTTCCACCAGCATCAATAAGTTCACCTGCCTTCCCAGGGGGACAGAGGCCCAGAGCTTCGTATGTGATGAGTTCATTAGCAGAGAAACAATCATGCAGCTCAACCACATCGACATCTTGAGCCTTCAAGTTAGTTTTAGCAAAGAGGCGGTCAGCAGCATTTTTGGTCATGTCATAACCAACCTGAGAAAAGAGCTCCAGTAAACAGAGGTACTTCAATTTTATCCTTGCAAGCAGTTTAAAAGGCAAAAACTTACAATCTTCATACAGCTATTGTCTTGGAACGTTGAAGGAAGGTCAGTAGACATTTCCATTCCCAAAATTTCCACAGCTTGGGCCTCCAGACCATGACGATGAACGAAGTCCTCAGAGCACAGGATGGCTGCCGCTGCACCATCAGAAGTAGGACAGCACTGCAGTTTAGTCAGGGGGCCAAAGATCTGAGGTGACTGCATGATCTGCTCCAGGGAATAAATGTCTTGGAACTGAGAGTACCTGGATTAAAGATTTACAGTTAGAAAGATGCAGTGAGGGTCAATAACCAACATTTATCTGGGCTCTTACGGATTGTTTGCAGAATGTTTGTGGTTTTTGTAGGCAATCTTAGCAAAGTGTTCTGGTTTTGTACCGTACTTAGCCATGTGCTCTTTGCCTGCATTTCCGAATAATTGTGCTGTGATTGGGCTACCATCCATACCAGCAATGTCTGCCATCACCTCAACGTGCTTGTCCATGGGGTTTGTGCGGTCAAAGAACTGGAAATAATAACGAAAGTTCAAACATAGTAGAATTACAATATCTTGATTTGAATGTAAATGTCAGTAACATACCTTTGAGCTAAGTGAGCCCCGTTCCATCTTCTCAAATCCAAGAGCCAAAACACATTCTCCAGTGCCAGCTTCAATAATTTGTTTTGCAAGCATTAAAGCCGTTGAACCAGTTGAGCAGTTATTGTTTACATTGTAGACAGGCATCCCAGTCATACCCACTTCATACAGGGCACGCTGACCGCAAGTTGAGTCACCTAAGGACAAACAACACTTGAATACCACAACGAACATGAAAAGGAAAAGGAAAGAAATTGCCATGAAGACCAGTGTCATCATAAACCACCTATCGGTAGGAAAATATCTTACCATAGACATAACCCACACATGCCTGGTTGACATCTTCAACACGGATTTTGGCATCTTGAAGAGCTTTTGTAACAGCCTCTTTGGCCATCTGAGGGTAGTCGAAGTCCTCTCTCTTCCCCGGCTTCTCGAACTGGTCAAAACAGCAAAACAGGAAACAAGTTGAAAAAAAAAAAATCAAAAAAAGTTCCAGAGATAATCGCCGGTCAAAGTACGTCTCTGGGCTGTTCTGCAAGTCATCAGACACAGGCTAACTACAGAAAGGGACACTATTGTAAGAGAACTGATGATATCTAAGCAACTTCCCTTGAGCGAATAAAAGCGTCAGGCAACAGTCTACCTGCTCCACAACTTTTTAAACCCGACAAACACGAAAGAAAAGGGGGCGTATAAGCGAAACCGTGCCTTGAGAGCAAGGCAACACGCGAAAAGGCATCTGTTACGAAAGCGGCACCAAATAATACAAACGATTCCGCCAACAAAATAGGGAAGTGGGTGAGCTAACAAGACATTCTCACCTTGGTCATGCCGACTCCGACAACAAACACCCTCTTGGGACTCATTTTCAGCGCTTAGTTAGGGCGAGACACCGTATGACCTCCAACCAACACGACAGCCAGGCAACTGCAGCAGTAGCAGCAGCTGAGCTCAAGTGAACTACATTCCAGGTTTACTTCGCAGTCTTGTCGTTTTGCTTCTTCATATTCATGCGCGGCACCCTTTTAATACAATCTCATACACTTTTGAACTTTGTCAATTAAAACTAAATTGCCGTTCTAAACATTTCCCTCGCTTTTAATCTCGCGGTGTTTGGAAAGCTTAGGAAAGGATTTCGGAGAAAGTTTACGAACTACGTTTCTAGCGTGCGGATGCATACTGTAGCAGTAAGAGGGTACGGTGGATTTCGTATCAATGTTTGGCGCGTCTGTCCGCAGTGGAAAATGTGAAAAATGCTAGTTTTGCGCGTGTTCTACAGTGGTTCAGTGAAACTCTAATTTGTGGGAAGCCGCCTAGCCCCAGTGTGAAGTGCGCGAAGCTGAAAAGCCAGGCCCGCTTTGTGTTTGTATACAAAGTGGCCAGCGAGCAGTGACGGCTTGAAGAAACCCATCGCTAGTGGGAAATTAAGAAGATGTAGTGGAAACAAGTGTGTGCCTTGCTCTACAGACTTTCCAGCCTTTTCTTCGCCCGAGTGTGGTCCGTTTTCGTGTCCGATATCTTCCTTATTCGAATGTGAAATTGTGGAATTTATCGAAAAGAGGATGGGATCCCGGGCTGGCTGGCTGGCTGTACACTTTTGAAATGGCTGCTCTGGTGGTGAAGTCAGGAAGTAACACCAGCATCTGTGGCAGCGAGAATTCATCTGCCGGTAAGTCTTTAGGCCTTAAACAGCTTCAACCTTGACTTAAACAGGTAGAATAATCTATGCTGCATAGGCAGTGATGGTCTTTATTGCTCATTTACCTTTAATTTTGTCTCGCGGTGTCAAAAAATGGGCGAGGACGAGAGGTTCTCATGTTGTGCGATAGATGGCGCTGGTGATGTCCACAGCCTCAAAATGGGAGTCATTGACATAATGAATGTACAGGTTACGATGATTACACGCATTAATAAACTGTTAGTACTCAGTATGTTCTTTCGATAATTATTCCTTGTTTCACTAGAATCCTTACTTGTCTAGAAGTTAGTTTCTGGATCATTATGTTTTATTTTGTTACCGTTTGCCGCGAAGAAGAAGACTGGCCTAAATTAGTAGCTCTAACGGATCTTTTTCTTACCGGGTGATTCTTTCTAAATCCTCTATACCGCTGGAAGGCTTCAATGTCTTTATTCTTCGTGACTTGTTTCAGCGCTTCCCCAGGAAGGGCGTTTCTCTGTTTTCAAGGCTTTGTTTTGCTTTGGCCGACATAGTGTTTGGTTGGGTGCTACCATCAGCAACAGACTATGTTCTCTTTTATTTAAGTGAAGCCTTGTGTTGTATTTGTTTCTGGTTCTACATACATTTAAAGTGAAATTCCCTCTTCCCTGTTTGGGGCTGCTATTGTAAACATCAGCCCATGTTCTGAGGAGGGCTTTCTCTTCTGGTGTCTTACTTACTGCTTTTTGTTTACCCTTGCCTAGTGACCCTTCATGGGTCTCTCTGGTGGAAGTTATCGACATTTATTTCGAATGCTGTCAGACCCTTTTAGAGCCCTTGAATTAGTTCTCCTAAAAATTTACTGAGGGTTAATGTAGGTCAAATGTGAAGGAGCAATCGTGCATCCTAACCTCAACTGAGTCAGTTTGTTTGGATGGTATTTCTTACGGACTGTCTCATATTTCTAGCGTTCTGATCTCCTTTATATCATTCTCCAATGTCAAGGATTTCTATTAATTCCCCTAGTGCTTTAAATGCCACCTTCTCTAAGTTGATCATCTGTCGTTCAATGATACATTCAGTGAAAATTCATTTTTACAGGGGATGGTGACTGATGTGGGTGGTTCTGAATTTACCAACAAATCAAGATGAATGGTGAAATACCTAGTGTACCTATCACCACTTTGGCTGGCATCTCAAGCCTTACTGACTGTAAGTTTAAAGTGTGTTGTATATCGGGTCGTAACAGGTTTTGCACTGTGTTTCTGAATTATTTTGTCTGGTTGCAGTGTTGCCGGAGATGCCCTTGCCCTCTCCTCTACCTCTGAGCAGCAAGTCCCTACTTTTTCACCCTCGAGTAGCAGAAGAGGCCCAGAATCTCCTCAGTGTGCGTGATGAATCACTGGTTCCTCAGCTAATTCAATCTTTAAGTCAAACTTCATCACAACACATGTAAGTTAATGCTTAACCCTTTCAATTTTTCATCTTGTTTGTTTGTTGTTTTTTATTTTTAAATTTAAAGTCACTTGAATATAGTTAATTAGGTTTGTTGGAGTTTGAGAACTGCTGCAATTCAATATTTGATACCTTTGAAATTTTAGTGGCTTCTTGACATGTACCGATTTGTTTGTTTTCTGGTTACACACAGCACTATCACAAACCAAAGAGGGCAATGTCTTTCCCCACTCCTTCCCTCCCCAATGCACTGCAGCTAGGGTTTAAACACTCTCAGGATCAACCTAAAAATTCCATGTGCGAACAGCCTTGCAATCATGTCTAGGTGGATGGAACAAACTCTTTGTTGTTCACAATTTGAGTGTAGTGCTTTGTAGATGATAAATATCTTTACTTGCTGTCAGTGCTCTTGTGTAAGCTTTCCATGTATTATATGCTTTCTTCTTTAATTTTTTTTTTAAATTTTTCCAAAGTCAAAGTATAAGATAAGAATTTTTTTTTTTGCCTTGAGGGAAGGGGGATGGGAAGGGTGGAAGTCTCTTTCAAGTGTGCAAGAATATTCTGTCAAAGCTATCGGCTCAAGTTTTGAACCGTGATTTTGAAGAAATGTGTCAGTGCTTAAAATCTTCACTCTGATTTTTTTAACCTTTTTTTTTTTTTGAAGTACTTGTTAATTTTTTAAAGAGAGATATCCTTCACTTGCATCATTTTTGCATGAACCTGCACACACATCTCTCTTCTCTTCAGAAGAATTTAAACATTTATTTGACCCATTGGACAATTCTGTAAATCTTGACTGCAATCTTAAGTGCCTGTTTATTAAGGACTGGACAGTTTTTTTTTCTCATTAACCAACTAAAAAGCTTCATCTGTAAATAAAATATTTTTCAAATCCTTTTTATTTTATTTTTTTTATAACTGATATGATACTATGAAGCTGGGTTCATGCTTACCTACCAGTTCTTATTGATAAATGATGGCCTTGTCTTTACTACCTGCAACTTGTAAATCTGGTCCTAAAGTACCTGGATTTTATTTTGCCTGTTTTCAGAGAACTAAAGGATCACTATGCTGGTACAGAACCTCCGGTTGAACAGCAGCAAAATATTCCCGAGCTTTTGAAGGCAATTCTTCACAGGAATCCCAATGTTTTCAAGGGACCACCGGGTTGGTTACATATTTGATTTCTTTTTTTTTTTTTCCTGTATGAGTTATAGTGGGTTCTATTTTAAAATCGCAGGAGGCATTGACATGTTCATGGGGTTAAATAGTTTTGCATGTTTGTGTTGTAAAATATAAAGCAACAATTCTGGCTTTGCTAGTTTCTTCTCTTTTGGCTTTAGTCACATTTGCAAGTTTTAAATTTATGGTGGTTTGAGTATACATTTACATGCTTTGATTTTTAAAAAAAAATTGTGCCAAATCAAATTGTATTTATACCTCTGACTGATTCTCTTTATGTGGTGATGGCATTACTTTCAATAATTTATATTAACCTCCTGTGCATGATAGTGAGTCTACTTTTATGCTTTGGGTTCTTTGGTTGTTTGTGAAATTCCTATTTATTCTTTACTCCTCTTCTGCCCTGTCACAATTTTGTGGGGTGTTGTTAAACATGTTGATCAATTATTGGTCAATCAGTTCTAAAATAGACTCAAGTTTTTGGGTGTCCTGTATGTAGTAGAGAATTTTGTACTGTCCTTTTAGCTTATGTTGTTAAACATTTTGCATTTTGAACAAAATCTTTTGTAGAAAACCAAAGGGTTTTGAAAATTCATAGTCAGATATTTATTGGGGTTTGGGTTTGCTTTTTCTCAATACTTTGCTTGTTAGACTAACATTTTCTGCACGAGCCTCCTGTATTTTAACCATTGTTTTACTTTTTCTTTCAGCTAATTCATCCACTCCTGTATGGAATCAGAATTTCAACTGTAACGATTCATCCCCAGCAAGTTACAGTCAGGAATCGCCTAATATATCCTACTCCGGTTTAGCAACTGGGCAGTTCCCTCAAGATCAAGTTCCTGGACCTGTGCCGGTTCCTATTCCTCCACCAGATCCTGGTCCTCATCAACGAGTGTCAGTGATAACAGAACAATATAAGCCTCCTATAGTGCATAACAATTTTGAAGCCAATGACTTAGCTAGTGCAGTAAAGGACGAGTCGTCACTGTTACAAGCACCTCCTCGAAGTGGTGGTGTTCAGGGAGACCTTCCGAACAGCACACAGGAGCCCTCAAGCATTCCCCGCACAAATGCTATGCAAATAGCAGGTAATTTGTCTGTCTGTTGAATTCTTTACTCTTTGTACTGCAGATTTATCACCTGACTTCCTTCTGAAACAGGTTCCTCTCCAGCTCAAGCTAGTACAGCGCCAGTTACCCAAGAACAGGATAAATCTAAGCTGTTGTCTGGAAGGCACAGTCGAAGAACCAATTCTGTCAATTCAAATTCCAATGCGGATGCTAAAGTAACTGGCGAATCATCTTCCTCGCTGCCAGCATCAGTTCAAATACCTGACATCATGAAGCTGAAAGATTTGAAAGAACCTGTTGTTAGATTGAATAGGTTATCAGAGGAGGTAATATAAATAATATCACAGGACCATTCTATGCCCGTGACATCATATTTCACTGGATATGTTTACATTTATTGCAGGATCAGGCGTTGATGCAAAAAAGTCTGAAAGCTTTTGCTGAGAAGTCACCATCTTTAGCAAACCAACTTGGCATTTTATCTCCACCCTCATCTAATCACCGTTCAGCACATAATTCAACGTCTTATAAAGAAGACTCTGGATCTGACAGCGATGAGCCCCTCCAAAAGAGCAAGTATTTTAAATCAAGAGACAAAGAAAGGGAAGAAAAGCGACTCAAAGGTAAATGTGTTTGATGCTTCTGAATAACACCCTGCATTAATTTACATTTTCTTATAACATTTCTTTGGCCTTTTAGAGAAAGATAGTCGGAAGAAAGCTCGTGCTGCCGATTCAGATAATGAGTACGTCCCAGATGATGACTCTGCGCCTCAATCAATGCGCAAGAGGCGTCATGCTAATTCAAATGATGGTGGAAACCCTGTCGATGGTGCGTCCAATGAATAGGTTTTGTCTTGTAAACATCTGCATGTCATTTGGAACCTTTTGCTCATGCCTTTTTACCTTCATATTTCAGATTTTGTGCCAAAGACAAAGTTGCGAAAAGTTGAAAGAAAACTTGCCCCAGCTGCTGAGAAACTGAGTGTAGAGGAACTGATGGAAACAAACACATACCAAAGGTTTAGCAGATCGATTGACCTAGTATTTGATAATACTGAAGACTTGGATCTCAACACAGAAATGGGTAATTGTGGATCTACTATTAGTGCTGCTTTCAACCAAATTGCTAAGAGTTCCCAAGTACCTTATATTCTTCTTTTTCACTGCAGAAGATGATGCGGATGTTCCTCCTGAGGCTCTTATACCTAAGTACCAGCTTCAAGAACTTTGTGGTGAAGCTGCTAAACTTAAAAATCTCGGTGCTATGGAATCCTTTCCGGCTGATCGACTTGTTCGCTTGCTGAACATTTTAGAAAAGAACATAAGAGATGGTGTTCGAGTTTGTCCCCTTGCTGATCCTGTAAGTTTTAGTTGAGTTGGTTGTGAACTCAAGAATAGGTGCCTTGTTATTTACTTGAATGTATATGTTACCCTTGCAGGATGAGGATGAAGAGGAGAGTAAACTTTGGTTAGAGTTGGCCATGGAGAGAGTAATGCGGGCAGTGGATGCATCACTAACATCTATGTACATTCTTACATCTCCTAACATGCCCAAAAGAATATATTTGGAAGATGTTATTGATCGGGTTGTGGTGTTTTGCAAGTTCCAACTAGTTAATACCATATACCCTTCCTTTGACCCTGTGTATAGGGTAGAGAATAAAGCCAAGTCATCCAAAGATGGTTAGTGTCCCAGGTTTTTTGCTTTTAGATGTTTGACATATGACTATAGGTCTTACTTTTAACTTCTTTCCTTATTTTAAATATACAGATCACCCTGGAAGTGGGCGCAAAAAGAAAGAAAAGCACCACAGTTCTCACGTCAAAGACAAAAGTATCCAAACTTTGTACAACAAGCTACATGAACTAGTTGGCTTGTTGAGTGAGTTACTGAATGTTCAGGTTCTAACTGACACCACCGTTCTTCATGCATCCTCTCTTGGTGTTGGACCTTTCTTTGTTGAGGGGGTGAGCGAGCTCCAGCTCTCAGCATTACGTCTCGTAACTTCTGTAAGTACTTCATAGGAATGTCAACTTAAAAGTTCACAAGTTTCTCCTTTTAACAATGTCTTTTCTTTCTGTTTTAAATAGATTTTCACTAAATATGACAAGCACAGACGACTGTTACTGGATGATATTCTTGCATCCATTGCTCGTCTGCCCAGTAGCAAACGCAGCCTCAGAACATACCGTTTAAGTTCGGATGAGAACATCCAAATGTTGACAGCTTTAGTTTTACAACTTATTCAATGTGTGGTTGTATTACCAGAGACACTGCAAGATCAACTCATGGCTAGTGCTCCAAAAGCTAAAGATGGAAAAGCAAAATCTAGTAAAGAGGAGGAAAAGAAACCGGAAATTGTTAGCAATGTATGTGTTTCAAAAATTTTGTCTATTTTGCTGCCCCTGCTCTTTCTTATTGATCTAATATTCATTATTCTTTTATATGTAGTGTGACCGAGATGTTTTTATTGCTGGTAAATACGACACTGCAATGCGGACTGCAGCAAATTTCCTCTCTGTTTTCTTGAACAAATGTGGGAACAAGTCAGAAGAAATTGATTATCGTCCCTTGTTTGAAAACTTTGTTCAAGACTTGCTTACAACTGTTAACAAGCCAGAGTGGCCTGCTGCAGAACTTCTCCTTAGCTTACTAGGAACTCTCTTGGTATGTTTTACATATTTTCATAGTATGTATTTAAAATAGACTTAGAGTTTTAACTTATCCTCCAAGTTTTTGCCTTTCTGACCTGAATTTGTATTTTCCAGGTCACCAATTTCGTCAACAAAGGAACTGACATGGCTCTACGTGTTGCCTCATTGGATTACCTGGGTGTTGTAGCTGCTCGCTTACGGAAGGATGCAGTTCAGTCACAACTTAAAGTTGATCACATCGATCAGATTATTAGGGAAATTAAAGCAGAGGAGTTAAAGGAAGAAGACGGTAGTAGTAGTAGTAAATCGTCAAAACAGGGTAAAGGGTGTGAACTTGATGAAGAGGAGGAACGGAACCAGTTTCTTCAAAGAGTTCTCCTTGACTACCTTGCTGTCAATGGTCACAATGACCAGGCATTAATCTATGCACGGCACTTTTACCTTGCTCAGTGGTACAAAGATGCCTCTTCTGATAGAAGAAAATCTCCCAGCAAATCACCTAGCAAGAAAAAGAATCAAAGAGGACGTAAGAAGCGGAAAGATGAGTCAAGTGAGGAAGAGACTGAGCCCTCAGATGATGATGATGATGATGAAGATAAGGATGAAGGATTAAATGATACTGCTCAAACCAATTCTGAAAAGTTCCGTCTTACCGAAATTCGAAAGAATTTCCTTGTTAGTAAGATTCGTCCATTCCAAGACTCCACAAACTCAGGATCTCGTCAACAAGTCATGCAAACATATCTGGACTACACCAGTGCAGAGCTCATATCTAGATTCTTGGCCTCCAAGAGACCATTCTCTCAAAGCTTTGATATGTATCTTAAACAGGTAACATTTTAATGACTGTTCTTTGTTAGACTGTTTCCTCACTTCTTTCTAACCCTGTTGTTTTGTTGATTTATTTTTCAGATTCTTAGAGTTCTCACAGAAAGTTCTATAGCTATCCGAACTAAGGCCATGAAGTGTTTAACAATGGTTGTAGAAGCTGATCCAGCTGTGTTGGGCCGGGTTGACATGCAATTGGGAGTTCGTCACTCATTCCTGGACCATTCTACATCAGTGAGAGAAGCTGCTGTGGACCTTGTTGGAAAATTTGTTTTAAGTAGACCAGAACTCATTGACAAATACTATGAAATGCTCTCTGCAAGAATTTTGGTATGTATTACTGAAAGTTCCCTACTCCAGGCTCAGTGTTCCATTTCACCTCTTCGTGGTGATTTTACTATCTTAGTTTATTATTATTTTGCAGGATACTGGTGTTAGTGTAAGAAAACGAGTCATAAAAATTCTCAAGGACATTTGTATAGAGTGTCCTGACTTCCCCAAGATTCCTGAAATCTGTGTCAAGATGATCCGTAGAGTAAATGATGAAGAAGGTATCAGAAAATTAGTCATGGAAGTGTTTCAAAATATGTGGTTCACACCAGTCCGTGAAAGGCCATCTTTAGACACTGTATCACTCATCAGAAAAGTTATGAACATTACCGATGTTGTTGCTACATCCCGTGGCATTGGAATGGAATGGTTTGAGCAGCTACTTGTCAGTGTAAGTTCAGACTCAAGACTACTTAAATGACCAATTTTTAAAAGTGAAAAATGTTTTGTTTGTCAATGACAATTGTATTTCAACTATGTATTGATAATTTATTTATCTTTGCAGTTATTTAGACCGAGGGAAGACAAAGAAGACTCAACCAAGGTGCATGCTGAGCCCCCAAAGGCCTTATTAACAGCTTGCAAACAGATAGTTGATTGTTTGATTGAGAATGTGTTACGATTAGAAGAAAGCAGTAACACTCAAAACAAGGGATCGTCTCAAAGACTGGTTGCATGTCTTACCACATTGAATTTATTTGCTAAGATAAGGCCTCAACTCTTGGTGAATCATGCCATAACTCTTCAACCCTATTTGAGCCTTCGCTGTCAGGTAAATCATCGTCTTCTTTTCTTACCCCATTTTGCCTCTGCTCATTGTTAGTTTGGAGCAATTAGTGATGTAATGTTTGTTTGTGCAGACACAAGGAGATTATCAAATCATCAGCTGTGTGGCTCGAACGCTGGAACTTGTGGTCCCCCTCATGGAGCATCCAAGTGAAACATTCTTGGCACAACTAGAAGAAGATTCAGTTAAACTCATACTGCAACATGACCGATCAGTAGTTGCTTCCTGCCTCTCTTGCCTTGGTTCTGTTGTAAATAATGTTACTAGGAACTTCAAGCTGATACGAGACTGCTTTAACAAATATTACAGTAAGTTAATACCTTATACTCTGATATGTTCAACTTTTTACGGTTTATTTACTTTTACTTCTCTTCTTTAGGTGTTATGAGAGATGTCAAGGAAAAAGATTTGTTTTTAAAGCAGTCAGCTGCTAGCCAACAAACTCGACCGTATGTTAGACGTGCTCTTTTCACTGTTGGATTATTGTTGAGACATTTTGATTTCACCAATAAAGATGTCATCGAAGGTCTTGATGTGAGTCTTTAGACTTAAAAGTTGTGATTGGACGCCTATTGATGTAATATAATAACTGTTATTTATACATTTTTTAAAATTCTTTTTGGGTGCAGGAGGATATTAAAAATCAAGTGTTTGAAACCTTGATATATTTTGTGAAGTTGGATGACAAGGATATACAAATTTATACTTTGCGAGCAATTGGCTCATTATGCATTAGACATTATGATTTTATGCTTCAATCTGACTTGAAAGCTTTATACCATGGCCTCCTTACTGGTGCAGACGCTCCTCTTCAAATGAAAGTACAGGTGAGTAATATTTCTATCTTTCTTTCTTGATTTTATGCCAAAATTGCCACTTGTTCAAGTGTGTGTTTTTCATTCTTACTCTGTGCCTATTTTGTAGGTTTTGAACAACATTGAAATGTATTTGGAGGAAGAAGAACAGAGAATGATTCGTCAAGATCAAGAGTGGGCCAAAATGTCCAAGTCAGAAAATCTAAAAGAAATGGGTGATGTCACTTCTGGTATGGCAAGTACTGTCATTCAGTTGTACCTCAAAGAAATCATGGACGCATTCCTCAATCCTGATGTTAGTGTAAGACATGCTGCACTCAAGGTTATCCAACTTATTTTGGCTCAAGGTTTGGTGCATCCTGTTCAGGTAGGTGGCTCAAATTGTCAACCTTATTACTCTTTTTTTTTTTAAAATTAAAATGCAACCAACTATTATTTTTTTCTCCTTTATTTTTCTTTTAGATTGTTCCATATCTTATTTGCATGAGCACTGATATGGAGAAAGTTGTTAGCCACAGTGCTGACAAGCAATTGCAGGACATAGAAAAGAAATATCCAGGTTTTATTCATATGAAATCTCAACTTGGAATTAGATTGTCATTCAAGCTACACTGTATTCTTCAGCAAGGGCCAAAGGGAGAGTATGTTCCTGTCAGAGGGCACCGCCAGATAGAGGGTGAACCTCTTCCAACAGCCTTGAATGGTTTTTTGTATTCCATACTTAGAAGTACAAAACAACAACGTCGAGCTCTGGTTCTCTCTATTCTCAAACAATTTGATGAGCAGACAGTAAGTACTATTTCTGCAAACTCTCTTGTAGATCTGGGTCATCTTTTGTCCCTTTGATAACCCTTTTGTTTATCTCTTTCCAGAAAACTAGCCTTTCACAAATGTTGTACTATGCAGATAATTTGGCTTATTTCCCTTATCAAGTCCAAGATGAACCTCTTTTCATCATTCATCATGTTGATATCATGATATCTGTCGCGGGCACCAATTTAATGCAAACATTCAAAGAGGTGCGTACTCATAGTTTTCTTTGGGTATTTGAGAATAAACTGGAATACTGCAGTAGCTTACAATTGTTTGTTATTTCCAGGCCTTGATTCCACTGAACAATCAAGTGCAACGGTTGAATCTTGAAACTGGACAACCTGAACTGGTTTCTCTTCCTGAACCTGATGAAGACGATGAAGAGGATGCTGATGCTTTATTGGCCAGGATGCCTCAGGATACTTCTGTACTGCAGGATGTCATTACTGCTTTTCAGGGTTGCTTGCTGCTGTTAGTCCTCAAGCAGCACCTCAAAGATCTCTATGGCTTTACTGATGCGTAAGTATCCCTTCTGCTTGCCTTGGCATGCTGGGTTTGTTTATTAATTTGTGTGTCGGCTTTAATTAATTATTTAACGTTTGCTGTTGTTTCTTTTCTTTTAGGAAAATAACTCAGTACTCGCCATCAGAAGCTGCTAAAGTGTATGAAAAGGCAGTGAGCCGGAAAAGTAATGCCGTGTTCAATCCAAAAGCCACACTGGCGAAACTAAAAGAAGGCAGTTCACAAGAAATTCTTGACCAGGCACAACGTAAAGCAATTATCACTCAATATTTGGATGTAAGTAACTTCTGTTCCATACTGTTGTCCTTAAATTTCGTCCTCATCAAACATCAAGCTAACTTTGTTATCTTTCTGTGCGTTGCAGTTCAAACAGATGATGTTGAAATTTGATCCTGATGATGCTGAGGAAGATGAAGAAGGCAGCCCTGGTAAATCTGGCACTCCAGGTCGTGCAGACAATGCAGGTGGCACACCCTATCAACAAGAAGGCATTGTGCCTCCAATCACTCTGACCATTAATGCAAGTCATGGTGATAACAGCCCTGATAAAGTACGAATCAACAATGTGCAGTCTGCGGTAAGTTTGTCAGTTTATTTTTTGGGAAATGACTTTGTTGTGGTAACAGCCTATCTCATAATTTCTTGTTATGTCTCCCTGTAGGATGGAACTCCTCAAAGAATTCCTAAATTGACAATTGTTGCCCCCAAACGGTCAGAGATCAAAGAACGTCATCATCGGAAAAGTCACAAATCAGATAAGCACAAAAAGCATCGCCATAAAAAGAAGCGCAAGAAGAATGGTGGTGGAAGTGATGAAGACAGTGATGATTTTAGTGATCCTGACTTCCTTGTGTGAAGCTTCAATTTAGTTGTGTTTGTGAATTAGTGAAACTGGACGCTACTGGAATCTGTCTAGTGTGATTTTCATCAGTATGACTCTTTTGTAAGTGTGCAATGGCCAAGAGTTTTATATTGTGCACCACTGAACTGAACTTTTTAAAAATGTGTATAGTTTGTCTTATTTTTATTAAGTAATTTTAGCAATTTCAAGTTTGTAACAGGTATTTATGTCAAAAGAACAATATTAAGATGTTTGTAAGAAATCTTGTACATATGCTTTGTAAATATTATGTATAAACCAAAATAAGTAGATGTATTTAAAGAGCCTCTATGGAGTGCACATATGCTAATGTGTGCACCAAATGGGAGAGGCACTATGTCCAGCAATAGAGTCACTTAAGTCAAGGAGTGTTAAAATAGTTGTTATATTCTGTGGAAGAGCTGAAACTTCATGTGATTTTTGCTCATTGTGCAATGATTTTTGAAGCCTGTTATTCCACAGATAAATATATTTTCAGGACCAGAGATTAAGGATAGTGTCATTTTAAGAATCACCATCAAGTTAAAATACTCTGCATTAATATCTCTTTTATCGGTTTTGCTACTTGTTAAATTTAATTATCTTGTATTGAGAGAATTTAAACTAGGAAATTCCACTGTTTCCCAGTGGCAAATACATAAATCAATTGATTATTTACCTACTTTGTATATTTGCAATCAATTGCCAGTTATCAGGGTTGATAAAAAAAATCTTTTTTTTTCTTTTTTAAATCTTTATTTTCTGTGATTTACCTTTAGGAGTTAATAAGGAATCTGTCTATTCCTATTATAAGCTGCGAAACCTACCAACTTGTTTATTTGCTATTGTTTTTATTACTTAACGTAAATGCTCTGTGCTGCAGTAAAAGCCATTGCCACATATTGTTGACTGAATTTGCATTTTATCCTCCTCCTATGGCCTCACGTAATTGATGTCTCTCGTTACTTGCAGTGCCTCCCTCACACAGATTAACGTAATCATGCCATTGTTTGAGTGTGTTTTGTAATTTGTGGCACCAACACTACATTGTTAGCTATGAACAATTTAGATCTAAAATGCATAAAAGCACATCAGAATTTCAGAGCCAGTAGTTAGCTTTTGGATTTGCACAGGACAGATACAGATTGTGTTGGAAAGGAGTAGTTGGCATGCATGCACAAATCAACACCTGATATCTGGTAAGATAGGGAAATAGAGATACAAAGGTTGAGCTGTTAACTAGATGTTTGCACCTGGCTGATGATTAAGTGCAAAGTTTCCATACTTTAATTTTGACTATAATTCTGTGCAAATGCTAAAAGGAGCACTTTCCATAGAATTTAAGTTTGATTTTCTTCTTGGTACATGGAAAATATGTTAAAATACAAATTCAGTTACGAGCAGATTCTTCCAGAGCACTACTATTTTTTCTTGTATTTTCTTTTTTTGTTTCCTATGGAGCTTGAGCATTTGATTATACTATTAACTGTGTATATGTACAGTAATTGAAAGATGCTGGGTGCATTTTCAATAAAAGTTTTGTTTTAATCCCTGAGTCGTTTACTGATCCATCCCTTACATAATAAAATTCAGAATGAAGATTAGAAAGACTGCAATATCTTTATTGGTCCTTTACAGGTAGACAAAAACAATCATTGGTACCCAAGCACTGAAAATAGCAGTAGTCAAAGAGTTTAAAATTTAGCTTTAAAATAAGAATGAAAAGTTAGAAGTGCTCTGCTTCTTGTTTTCACCTCCTGATTGCTCTGAACTTGATTGCCCACCAAATATGTTAGTGGTAGCTGGTTTGTTGGAAAAGAAACTGAATGCACTGAATGCTGAAGGCTGCTCAGGATCTTCATGACAAAAATAAAAAGCATTCTTAGTGGCAATATTGGTGGAAACAGAACTTACAGCAAAAAGACAGACTTAAATACACACCTTGGATCTCGCTTTGGGCCTCTTCTGAATCCTTTGATGGAGATGACTCGAAGCCAGCATGAACAGGCGACATGACAGGCTCAAATGCAGGCGGACTCTGGAGAGAGTACATCTCATCTCCATACTCTGCAAAGTTCACAGAAAATTCAATGAATGGGAATCACAACAAGGTTTACATACTTCTTATGAACATAATCAATGAACTCAGTGAACTCCCTACCGGCATTGAAGTCAAAACCATTATCATCTTCCAAAGGTGCATTATCATTTTCTCCAGAACGACTGAGATCAGATGAGTTTCCAGTAAAATCAGCAAGTTCAGAAGGTTTTTCTTGGTCCTGAAAATGTCAAAAAACAAGGCCATGTCTGGTTATCTTCTGAAATGGATTGCGCTCTGCTATGTGGGTCCAGTCTAAATTACCATATTTTTGTTTGAATCCTGATGAATGCTATTAACATTATCTACTTTTACGGGTTCGGGTTCCTCAATCCCAATGGCTTCGATGGTATCTTGGTGAGAGATGCGGTATTCCTGAGTAAATAAATCAACTTCACTGGTTGAAGCAGCTACATCCACTTCCAAAGCCTAGAATAGATCATTACTGTGCAGATAATTCAACCCAACATTCTTTTTAAAAACAATAAAAAATAATATGCTCTTACCCTTGAAGATTGAGTCATCAAAGTCGGACCAAGTGTCTTATTAACGTCCTCAGAGACATTTAAGTTTGGTCGCATTGTCTCTTTAAGCTTTGCTGCAATGTTGTCAGTGCTTAAAATTGCTTCCCTCTGAAAGCAAAACCATGGTGTGAGTTAATGGAAAAAAAAAAAACTAAGAGAAAATTGTCTCACTTAACTACCTTGCTTGACGGGCTACTGCAGATAACATTGTTCACTTCTCTAATAGATTTTGGTTTCTCAATCATCTTCTGTTGAGGTAAGACTAATTCTTTGAGATTCACATTGCCTGGAGTAAAACATTGGAAGTGGTTTCAAATTGTAATAGCAAAATCAAATTTTAAAATAGGTCTCACCTGCACCAGATTCCGTGACCTTCTTAGAAATATGTTGCTTTGCATCACTATTGATAATGGCTTTGGTAGGCTGAGCATTCTCTCCAGCAGATGTTAGTGTCGGTGTTTCAATTAACTGACTTGCTGTTGAAGAGGTGGGTAGCATCGGTTGGCTCGCTGATTTAAGGCCATATCCTTCCCCTTGAGAAGTTGAAGCAAGTGATGACCTGAAGATCGAAGATCCTTGCGAGAAGCTACTAAGCTCTCTGGCCGTGATTGGGGTGTCAAAGTTCAACTATCAAAAGTATAAGATACAAAATAAAAATAATTTGACAGAAACCTTTCTAGAAAAGCGCAACAAATTGAATAATTGGCTTACCTTCAAAACAGGAATATTAATGCTACGCAATTTAAAAGTAGAAGATATTCCCTGCAATAAATTAAAGTATGTAGTACATTTTTTAAGTAGATCAGAAGTTATAGTACCATAAAACTACTAGATAATTACTGGGTTGGCACTGGTTGACTCTGACTCGACCTTTTCCTGATTTTGTTTCTGCAGTTCTTCATCTGAAAAGTTTTTAAATATTAAATATTTATCTATTCCAAGACAATCACATGAAAACTTTCCAAAACTACAAACCAGTACCTCTTTGTTGCTTTTCCTCCTCTAATCTCTGCTGATGCGCAACTCTTTTTAGGGCAACCCTTGCTCTTATTTCCCTGAAAATCAATTATTTTTTAGAAATCAAGTTAGTTGTATAGAGTGCGAATTGCTCATAAAGTGAGTGTTCATATTTTCGTGATGGGTACTTACTCAGCTTTTTGCTCAAGCTGCTGACGCTTCTGTATGGCCTCCTGATTTTCAGCATAGCATTGAAGACACTTTTGCTTTAATGCTTCAAGCCTTTGGACTTACAGAGAAAACCAGAGACTGTTTCTAGAATAAATACCTTATATAAAGAGAGAAAGCACAAATCCTATCAGTTACCTTTAGCTTCATACACTTGTTCAGCACGTGTACGAAGTTCTTTTGCCTCTTCTTTCTTCTTCGACAGTTCCATTCTTGCAAGTCTTACTTTTTCGGCAAGGGCATTTCTTTCTGCTACTCTCGGCCATTTATTGTATTTTTCCTCATATTGCGCCCATATTTTCTCATATTTCTCAATCATGTCTCGATACTTCTTTTCCTTGGCTTTGGCATTTTCCTTAACTTGCTTTAATTCATTTAGTAGTTGGGGGCGAATTACGTCAGTATACTCTGTAATTTGCCTCTCTAGACTGGAAAAAGGAAATAGAGTTGAAATGAAGTTACCATGAGACAGAGGTGCATGCGCATGAGCAAACCTTTCATTTTTAGCCTGAAGCAGACTGATTTCCTTATCACGAAACTCGCTTAGAGTCTTCAAACGAGCATTTTCCTTGTTCACAGTGTCAAGTGATGCTCGAGTCTCTTTGATTTGTTCCTGAATATCTACACCACAGATAACGAAGGACGGATTACCATCATGAAACAATGCCGTTGAAACTGGCCGGGCCGCAAGCCGGGCCCACCAGTGGGCCAGAAGAGCGGTGGAGGCGGCCAAAACTCAAGACGCGTTTTGAGCCCCAGAGTCGCTAAATGGACTCGAGGCGAACGTGTGACCGTTCACACGTTTGGTTCGAGTCCCATTTAGCGACTCTGGAGCTCAAAACGCGTCTAGAATTAAGGCCGCCTCCACCGGTCTTCTGGCCCACTGTGGAGCCCGGGCAGCACATGGGGAGGGTCTCGACTTACCAGCTGTCTCTTTCATTATCTCCTCCAATTCGGAACTGACTCCAACGGCTAGTTGCCGAAGCACCGTACTATCTTTAACTGGGTCAGAATCCATGTTTCAGAATCTTCTAGAATCAGTAGCAAATGAGACTAAACTCGTGGATCACAGTTGCAAGCACAGAGCACGCGTGACGACTCTACACTGTACGGTTGAGAAACGAAAGGACGCTGCTCGATTTCAAATAAACCGCATCACCAGCACCAACCCCACCAATCACTGACAAGTTTTTTATCTCCCTAAAACACTATAAAATACAAACGAATTCTTATATTTATCTTTTAAGACCAATTTAAACCACAAATTAGACAAAATTAGGGGGTTGAAGCGCTCAAAATGATTGGGATGGGCTGTGGAGTTCACGTTTACGGGTTGGCAGACGTTTCGCGTGTCCGGTGCAGAAGGCGGGAACCGGAACTTGGGGTTGGCGGCAGGCGGAAGGGCGCGCAGACCCCTACCCCCTCCCCCGCCCCAGACGGCGTCAACAAATCTGGCCCCTCCCCTCCCAGGCTCCGTAACGCGCAGCGCGCACCGGTCAGAGACCTGAGCTTTATCCGGCCCGGCATTTCTGTCCCGTTAGGTTTGAACGTCTTTTTATTCACCCCGGTGAGTGGCTTTGTAGATAAGCCCATACATCGCCGTGCCGTGGCGCGCGGCGGGTTACGGCGAGAGCGTCGAGAGGTTGAGTCGAGGCTCCGGTTCCGTGTGTTTTTCCAGTGCCTGTGGTGCGGGTTGCCTGCAGTTTCGTCGCTCTGTCTCTCTCGCACGACGAGGCGGCGCTGAGCGGCGTCGGATCCCTGTCGGCACCTCGCTGTTGGCTCGCGGTGCATCACGGAAACGGGGCCGTGTTGGGGTAGGACAGGGAAGGGGAAAGGGGAGGGGGAGGGGCGTGGGAAGAGAAGAGTCCAGCGCGCCCGCCCCAGTTTGTGCCACTTGTTCGTTTGCGTGCTGTCACTGCCGTGCATTTCCCGATCCCGCACTTTCCCCCGAAGCCGGGCCGGTTCCCAGGAGCCACGCGGACAACAAGAAGCAGCGTCGTCCACTACACTGCTGGCGGTGGTGGTGGTGGGCGTGTAACACAGTGTAAGAGCCTCGCGGATGTGACGGGCCGAAAGGCGAGCGGGCAAAGGCCTTACCGAACAAGGCGCCACGCCACTGTATTCGAGTATTCTCGTTCAGTCCCAGTCGGGGAAAACTTCCCGCGGCGAAGCGAACCCCAACGGGTCCTCGGCCAGCGTCGCCAGCGTTCAGCCCCACGACAACCTTGACGGCACGCTGCAGCGTAACTGGGGAGGCGGTGCTGCTGGTAGTAGTTATCGGCGGCGTAGGCTCATTCCGAACAAGTGCTTTCGTCGCGCTGTCTCTCTCGCACTCGAGGGGCGTTTCGGAGCGGTGCGAGAGAGACAGTGCGACGAGTGTTCTGTTCGGGTTTTTTTCTAGACGGCACCGCCAACGCCCCCGGCGCCGCAGTGAAGTAATCGATGTATCGAGAAGCTGACTACTCTGTATCAATTTATGTGCCTCGGCGCCCCGCCAGTCTCTCCAGGACCTCCAGGACCTCCAGGCCCCTCCAGGCCCCTCCAGGTGCGCCGAGCGCCGATGAGTGCCTTTTTATTGTTGTCCATGACGGCGCGAGTGGCGCAGTCGCGCTGTCTCTCTCGCACTCATGGGGCGTCTCGCTTAGTCTCGCTGAGGGAGGGGCCGAGGGGGAGGGCCCAGGTGGCTCCTTCTACAACCCTTCGCGCATCGCGCACGCGAGGCCGCCCAGCCGGCCAGCCCGAGCTGTCAGCATGCTTCGGGAATTCCGTCGCAATTGGCCTCCTCGGCGTGAATTGGAATTCTTTTATCATAGTAGCTGACGCGCCGCTGGCGTGCGTGGAGCCATGATAGCCATGATGGTGGTGGGGCAGCCTGGCCGTGGCCATGGGGCACTTGCAGTGCACTTACCGCGCCGGCCCGAGGTGCAATCAAAATTAAGAAAAGGTATCTAATTAAAAATAACGAGAGTCGAGCTTCTCCATCTCGCTTGCAGGGTAGCTCTAGAACCATCATCGTGGCAAGAAAGAGATAGAGAGATTGGCCCGTCAAAGGTCGCAGTCGCACCAGCGCGTGCGCGTACGTGCGCGGGGCGTCGCCGGGTCGCTTTTTATTAATTTGTTGTTCTTCCCTCTCTTCACACGCGTGTAGGCACACTAGGGTCCCGAAGGAATGCCTGTCGTTAGGTTTATGGGAGAATGGTTTAACAGAAAAGGGGGGGGGGGCTAACGCAGCGTCAGCTGGGCGGCGCGTTCCGTGTACCGGCAGCTGCACCGAGTGGTCTGCGCGGCCCAGCCACGCCGAAGAGGCGTTTCGTCGCTCTGTCTCTCTCGCACCCCTACGCGGCACGCTCCATGAGTGCGAGAGAGACGGAGCGACGAAAACGACTCTTCGGCATCGCTCGTCTGCCCGCAGGGCACGGGGTGCGGCTCGGCTCGGGACTCGGGGCACCCAAAAGCCAACCCCCAGCACCGCAGACTGGCAGACACCCCCGGCACGCACACTCACACACTCACACACACACACACACACACACACACACACTAACACGCGCGTAATGACGGCGCAAATTGCAGGACACGCGGCCCCCTGTCTGACATCCGCTTTCCGCCGCCTTGGCTTTTCACTCTGCCTCTTCAATTTCGCTTTCCGTCGAGTCTTTTGTCTCTGTCCCCCTCGCTGACTCGGCCCACTCGGCCTACCCGCGTTCCCTTTCCTCCTCCGCACACCCTTCACGTGTGAGTTGCGTTTCCAAAAGCGGCCCCGAATTCGCTTTTCGACAGGGGGCTGTCATGGCTGCGGACCGCACTTTTTCCTGTCGAGGCTTGAGGCGGTGCGGCGAGCCTGGCGGCCTGCCGACCCCGGACGCGGGTTCGGCTCGCGCGACCCGCGGCGTCGTCGTCGCCGTGTCTTCGCGGTCGCGGCGCGGTCGCGGCCCGTCCGCAGGTCCTGAACCCATCTTCGCCGCTCGCCGCTCTCTCTGCCAGGCGTCTATGCTTGTAGGGGGCTGCGCTGAGGCTGCGCTGAGGCTGCGCGGCTGCACGGCCTACTAGGCACGGTCTAGCCGGCACCGTTCCGACACGACGTGCACGCCGGGCCTTATTCGCGGCGCACGCGGCGCGGCTCGGCGCCAAAGACGCTCCACGCCGTCGCGGCCCCGCCCCGCCCCGCCCCGCGGCCAGCCCTTCGCGGGGCGGGAGGCGATGCGGGATCAGAGGGCCTCAGCCTAGCGCTGCTACGCTGCCACGCCGTGGCGAAAGCCAGTCGAGCCGGATCTGCAACGTCAAAGTCGTGCGCGGCCGGCCGCCCGGGGAGTAAAGCCCCTCAAGGGCAGCGCAGCGCGTCGACGGCCACGTCCAGGACCACGACGACGACGAGCACGACGACGACGCACCTCGGGTGCGTGCGTGCGGCTCAGCCCTCACAAAGCCCAGGATGTAGACTACAATGCACGCGCGCGCACTCACACCAACTCACACACACGCACTGCTATACACATTTTATGGTTGACTAATCAACGGTTGGATCCCAGACTAGCCCGGCGTAGCCCGGCCCTGCCCTTGCCGCTATCATGATGATGGCCGTGATGTAGCGGCCGGGCCGGGCCGACGCCCCAGGGCCCGCGCGGGCTGCGTGCGAACCGCCCAGCATCCCCTTGAAGGCCTCCTTGAACGCCGCCCTCCGGCCCAACAGGTAGCTTGATCGGGCTCAACGAGCCGGCGGAGCGCTGCCCCGGAGTCCCTGGAGCACTGCAGGACCCTGGCCGGCGTCGCCCCCTCCCCCTGCAGGCCCTGCAGTGCGTGATTCCCGCGGGAACCTCGTCCGCGGAGTCCACGGGGCGAACAAAGGAACAATCGAACTGCCGACAGGCATTACCAAATCGGAAAACATAACGGAATGTCGCAACTAGCGAACGGAAGGCCGCGGCGGCCGTGAGGACGACGACGACGACGACGACGCCGTGGCCTGTCTTGTGGACGTCGGCTTAGTGGGGCACGCCGCGGCGGCTCGTAGCGGGGACACGGGGACACTAGGCCGCTGAGCCGCCGGACCTCCTCGGATGCTGGTATGCCACTGCGCCACTGCCATGGGGGGCCCAGTCAGGCCCGGCTCGGACATGGGCATGGCACCTATCCCGTTGTCGTCCTCCTGAAGTAGGCCCATTGTGTGCCCTGCTGCCCGCGCTGCCTGGCACTCAGCACACTGTTGGAGAGTGCCGGGGAGAGCGCCAAGAAGTGCCTCGGCGCGGTCGAGTGGAAGACGCAGGCGATCGCCGAGGCCTTTTAGCTGTTTATCGGCTCCTCGAAGCCCTGGGAGTCCCAGAGGACATTTCCAGGCTTCGGCTCGGCCTGGCGGCGCGCGGTTTCTGCTGTTGCAGTGCCGCAGTGCTGCAGGCCGAGGAGGCCGTCGTCGTGTACACCGCACACTTCGTGACGGACTTCGCCGAGCAACGGCGCCGCTAAGTGGCTGGAGAGAGCCGCGGCCTCATGAGAGAGGTGTGAACTACAGTGCACGCATGCGCCTGCCTAGCGCCCTGGAGCCTGCGGGCCTGGAGGCCTGCCTGGAGGCCTGCAGGAACATGGCAGCAACACACCCGTGTCTGTCTGGAACTGGAAACGCCCGCAGCGTCTGCTGGAATATGGAGCCGGCTGCAGACTGTTCAGTCTGTTGTCCGAGGCGCTGGAGCCGTTTCGAAGCCCATTCAAAGCGTTGCGTCGGAATGCGCTGGAGAATTTTGCTGCGGGCGACAGGTTATTAGGGCTGTCTGTCGAGACTCCAGGGCTGGAGGGCCACGCCATTGGGTACTCCGTGTGTTTGGGACGGTTCCCACCCGCGTATGGGATGGAGCGGTCTCAAAACAGTCAGTCTTCCCGGCTGTGTTACTGCCAGCGTTTGCCTGGTTTTGGCCGACTTTGGGCCGCCACTACATACGTCCAATCTCCAATCCCAACTGATTGTTTTCCGACAGACAGCGATCGTTCCAGCGGGGTGCTGTTAGTGCTGCAGCGGGGGGCTGGTCTGCTGGACGACAAGACCCGCTGGCGCGACGCGGTCGCCTCGCCCTAGTCTGTCGCCCTATCGCCCCATCGCCATAATGTGGCCCTAGTGGCCCCTAGTGCGGTCAATGCTGCCAACT